GAGTTGGACTAAAACAATTCCCCATGACGCGCGTTGCTATTTCAGATACAACTTTGTTTGGCCCCACATAGTTTTACACATCAGCGTGATGGCATTTGGAATGCTCACCATGCATGCAATGCATCTATCTCCTTCTTCTTTTGACACCCTTCCTATCTACCCTTGAATCGACCCAGTCGTCCAGTCTGCCCTCTGCGTCTGCCTACCGGGACAGAAGAGAGGCCCTGTCATCAGATGGGAAAATAGCTCACAACTTTCCTGCATTTTCCACTCTGTCGATGTGCAGTATCTGTGTCCTCTTTTTACCCAGGCTGCACTTCCTTGCGGCCTGCGGCGCCATACTTGAGGATTGTGGGGCTGTGAGGACCTGGGGATTCTTGGCACGGCTTTGAGTACATGTGCTTCTGGGAGGATAAGCTCAGCTATGTTAGCAATGCGTCAGGCCAGCGGAGGCTACAGGCTGTTCCCCATATTTGGCAAATCACTTAGGATCACCCCACCTTAGCCAGTCTCGGAGCTACAGTAAAGCAGAAAATATGAATGGAATGCAGAGGCAGACAGGGGATGAGGGAACCCGCACAAGGGATGATTACATGCCGGCACTCATTAAACACAGTACAGTGAACGATAACAGTTTTTTATTTCAAGTCATTTGTCGCTATATTTGGCTTGTTTTTCCGTTTTCACCTTCTAGACTCATCTTTCCTCCTTCTATTTTGTGCCAGAACAAACTAGGTGAGACTTTAAGACTCTGAGCCGCTTCAAATGTCCCGAAATAGCCTTTGCCTTTTACACTTAACACATTGCAGCTTATGTAAGGGGGCGAGCTGTAGCCGCCTATCAATCCATTTGGTCCATCAGGTTATTTCTTTTGGACTTGGCTCGCATTCTTGACCCGTTAGATTAGTTAAGTCATCTTTCTTATTGTTCAGCACTTTGCATAACTGTTGTTCTGTTTAAGGGATGTGAAAAAAAACTGAAGCGGGATCGCATAAGAGTTCCTGGACCATGTGATCTAAATTTAGCTGTTGAGATTTAGTCCCTGCTATCATAAGCTTTTAAAAAATAATGCAATATGGGCATCGCATAATCCTTTTACACTGATAATATGGACATTGCAAATCCCACATTTCATCCAGTCAAATCCACTCAGTTGCTACTGAACAAACACCCTGATGCAATCCCCGGGCAATTTTGTCGACCTACCAATTTGAAAACAAACACCCAAATGATCAATTGCTGCAGAAATACTGGTGGGATTATTTTTTTAACACAGCGGGTATATTTATGACAATAGCCTCATTGGTTTCAACCAGATAACCAAGAGTTGCATACCACCCCCAGGAGCAGTTAAGTATTTGTCATGACCTAATCTGCAATGACCTGCTGTGTCACTCTACTCCCCAATCGGACGTGTTGAGAAGGTGTAGGTCAGGTGTGTCTGTTGGTAACCTGGTCACCCTTCCCCTGCCCCACAGACACACACACACACAGCTGTTTTCCTCTGATTATAGGCTCCACCACCGCACTCATTTCTTGTGAACTGAAAGGTTAAGATCACCTGATCTCATCCCGGTGTGTTGCGGACGCCGCCAGGCCCCAGGTGTGTACGTGTGCGTGACGCTTCTCAAAATGTACAGTTACCTCAGCAAAACTGAAACCACAAAACCCCCAAGAAAAAAAAAACAACCTTCGTCAGCTCACCCAGCGAGACTTGTGAGGATTTCTCTTGCAACAGCTGCCGAGGTGTGATGCCATGATGCTGAACTGGCATCACCTCGGGCCGCCGCAGCAGTGAGAAAACTCCCGCCGCACGTGAATCTCAGAACCTCTGATAGTTTCACATTGTGCCGGCTCACCACGCTGCCTCTGAGGCGCGAGCTCGCTGTGCGGTCGGGCAACAGCGGCGGCGAGAAGCGCAGCTCGCTCCGCCAGTGAGTGACACATGCTTAGATTAGAGACACCCAACACCAGTCGTCCATCTATCCATCCATCTCTCCTCTGCCTGAGCCATGAGCTCATGGTACCAATCAGGCCATAGAGAGAGAGGGGGGGAGAGAGAGAGAGGCTCAGTGACGGGTGGGGTGAGAAGGGATGCTGCCTGCCAGCGCGTTGTGTAATCGCATCTCGCCGTGGTTACTGTAAGTGAGACGGGCGGGGGAAATGGGAAGAAGGGCCCACAGATTCCCATGAAAGTAATGACTCTGGGAAGGGCGCAGCATCACTCTAGCAAGAAAACATCCAAGGCATTTAGGATTTACGGTTGAACCACAGGTCTGGGAATCAGGTCCCAATATGGAAACGTATACTGTAGCATGTGAACAAAGTTAAAGTAGTCTTGCAGTAAACATTGTGTGGTGCTATAACAACACAGTGTCGTAGCCGAGTACAGTGAAAGATGTTTGGACAGGGGAAAGAATTGCTGTGATGAGTGAGGTCATGACTTCCTTTTTGGACTTTTTATTTGAATCACTCAATAATTCTGCTCTGAAATACGGCTCACAGATTGTTAAAGAGTTCCGGAGATAAGCTTCGCCCCTGTTATGAGTTCCTTTATAAGATTTAGAGGCGCTCTAAGGTGGATTTTGCTTTCACCAAACTCCTGACAGGAGAGTGGATTAAGCCCGTTATCCAAATCGACAAACATGTCGGGAAAAAGCTCTTAAGCTTTAAAGATCTGAGTAAATATTCTGTCTGTTCTGGTAGATTCATCGCGGATGAACTGGATATTTCGTCTGGTCCATGTGAACGTGAGGAAAAGTCCTCATCAGCACTTTTCCCAGGAAGAACAAGGAAACAGTCTGGAGTAAACGGCTGCTAGATGTGTTCTATCCATCTTTCCGTTCCACGGTTGAAAACACTTCTGGTTCCAAGTCAGATGACCATCAGCCTGGTCTCGCTCCCTCCCTCTCGGTGTGTCGTAGCCCTGAACCAGCCCTGGCTTATCCCTCGCGCAGACAGCCAGGCTGCCTCTACAGTCTGGACCGTGGCTCTTGGGGAGAAGATGTTTGTTAACTGCATATAAATAGCAGCAGCAGAGGCGAGCCACTCTTTACAATAGCCTCATTTCTCTTTTTTTCCCCCCCGTTCTCAGGCTGCACCTGTCGACAAGAGGAATACGGCATGAAAAAGAGGCCTGTTGTTGTCGTCGTAGTCTTCCGTGGGGCCTGCGCGAGTTGCTGCTGCAGAAATCTGTAGAAGAATTGTATCAACAACAAAGACCACAGACGTAACTGTTACAGTGAAGTGCGTCAAGAATTGGGAAGTCAACAATAGACTTGATCCTTAGCTTTGACTTCCATGCCCTTTTTGTTTATCTGGAACTCGTATAAAACAACAACATTCATACTCTTGAGATTGCAGGCTCTCATCTGGGGCATTAAAGTTTTTTTTTTGCTCAAACAGGTCAAGACCAGACATGACTGCAACCGCTATTGTTGTCTTTTTGCCCGACAGAAACCTTTCTGGATTTAAAAAAAAGAAAGTGGAATACTTTTGGTGCTTTTGGAAAAGCCAAAAAATACTTTAAAAGGGACATTTTAAACGTGTCCCAATCCACCCAGTGAGCCAGCGGGAACTTCTAGGGGGATTTTCAAAACACATCTTCTAGAACTCTCACTCTTTATGCTCGATTAGAGCGAAACCTTGAGTGCAGCGACCACAGACAAATAGTCATCTCAACAAGCCACATCGGTCCTAATATCAGGGTGTCTCACTAGAGCGTTATTCCCAAACTACTTACTTTTGAAACCACTCGTAAGAAGATGACTAGTTTTGTCTAATGATAATTACTCCAGTCTCTCATAAGCTTTCCTCTGCAGATATTAATGCACGAGGAAAGTCCCTCCATTGCTTCTTTACAACTTTTCGTGTGCCTGTGTAAGTCTGTGGGAGGAAAGCTTCCTCTGTTCTTAGAACACTGAGCAATTACCCGAGATGAGTCTGAGCAGGGAAGGACTGCCCCCTTTGCTGATCCGTGCCTGCGCGCGTGTGTGTGTGTGTGTGTGTGTGTGTGTGTGTGTGCATCCACCTGCGTGCACACACGTGCAGGTTTGACCAGCGGCTTGGCGGGAGACCTGGGGAGGGAGGGTGCCTGTCGAGAGGAAATGCATTGAGTTCCTCTGAAGTTACGCTCATCTCTTTGATGTGGGCCTCCCTTTTACCGTCAGCTTCGGCTCGGAAGCCGACCGCAACACTCACACACTTCCCCTTGCCTGCCGCTGACGATCTCGCTGACCCTCATTCTGCGGCGGCTCACTCCGACTCTCACTGTGTTTCCTTTGTGTGTGTGTGTGTGTGTGTGTGTGTGTGTGTAAGTTGTCCATCTCTACAGGAAGACACTCATGCACTCATTTCCCCCTTGTGTGTGTGTGTGTGTTGCAGGAATCTTGTAAACTGTTGCAGGATTCATCCAAGTGTTCAATATTTTAGATTTCCTAAAAGCCCACCTGTGATATGCAAAGCTCCAGTTCGGTTACACGCCGGCCCACATTTCCACTCGGCTGCACAAAGCTACAACTACGCACACTACACTGACACGCAGGCTTCTCCGGACTCAGTAGCTGGTGCGCACACTAGACAAAAGAAAGGTCTCTGCTGCACCCCCCCAAACCTCCACCACACGCCCCCCAGGCTCGGCATCGGTTCCGGCTGCAGCGATTGTGCAAGCTGTTGTATAAGGCAGCTGGTGGTATGAGAGGTATAAGGTCAGTGCCTGGAAAGAACACATGTCACAAGCATCATTATGTTGTAACTACTTCGCTAAATCTCTCGTTTAATCGTTCGCTCTTTCGCGGCCGCCCACATTTTACCGTCTACTTCTTCCCTTTAAGCTGTAAACTGAGGTCGTGCAACACTTCCTGGTGCTTTTATATCTATGCAATCTGCTGTAACTTCCCACACTGCTGCATTGAAGCCCACCTCAGGTTTTGGAGTGTGCCAATGGTCTGTGAAGATTCATGCAAAAAAAAAAAAAAAGAAATAAGGTTTTTGACGAGAGGTTGGAGTTGGATTTAAATTGTTTATTCACAAAACATTAAGAAATGAGTACAATTCAAACAATGTTGCATGACTTGTTGCATACAAGTCAAAATACGAGTCTCTGAATACGTGTCACGCGCTCAGACGCAGCGCAGATCAGGATGAGCAAGTCTGTGCTCTATTCCAAAGAAGTCCCTGATCACTGCGCTGGTAAAGAAAAGAAAAGTCCATTTAGACACCCTCTTCCGGGTCCAGCATCCTCCTCGTTCCCATCTAATGAGATTCAGTCCAGTTTCGGGCCCTTTCACAAGTCCATTTCTTGCAAAGTCTGAAACCTTGCCATGCCCCCCTCCCATTGCCCCCCACGTGGGGCACCACGCGTCATCTATGCATGCACTGTGCAGCATATTCCCAATCCTTCTCAGTGTCCAATCAGGCTCTTTGATCCCCTCCATCTTTGACCGACCCCGGTACACACTTGACCTCTGAACACGGGATCCCTTCCTCGGGGGTGACCCGGAACCAACTTGCCGACCCAGAATGCGCTAGAAGGTTGTTCTCTTGCAGGGGTGAGGGAAGGGGGGGTGGGGGAGTCGGGTGGGTTACAACCACATCCTCTTAATCCAGACGTGAGGCAGAGAGGCTTGCCGCCCACCCCCTCCTCTCCTCTCCTCTCAATCCCCAACTGAGTCTCAGCTCCTTGACTTTCCATCATTCTTCTTCTTCTGCATCATCATCATCATCATCATGTTGAAGCGTTGTTTTGGCGGAGTGTCCCTTCAGCGCTCTGGGAGCGTGACGGTGGGCACCCAGTCGTACACACTGCGTCTCTCCTCGCAGAACCCACTCAGCTTGTCCAGAGCCGGGTCCTTCCACGGGTTTGCACTGGGACTCTGCAAAGACACCAAGAAGAAGAAGGAGACATTTAGAGCCAGGAACTCAAGACCACGCAGACGCGCACTGACTCGCGTGTGCACAAAGATCAGACGGAGGCGGCGAGGAGTGACGCGTGCATGATTCACCCCCGCTCTCTCCCCCCTCCGGTTGCTTCCGGGGAACGTACCGTGACAAGAATGCAATGCGCGTCCTTGGGCTCGCCGGGCTCGCCCGCGCTCACGAGGTCGGCCAGGCGCTCGATGTCGTTGACGCGCACCACGTTGATGTCGTTGTCGAAGCAGAAGGCCTGGATGAGGGTGAAGTGGATCTGGAGGGCGATGTCGCACTCGTACTCCTCGTCGGTGGCGAGCACGCAGAATGCCACGCTGTCCGGGTCGCTGTTGTTGGGGAGAGAGAGAGGGAGAGACGCGCGTCAGAAAACCGTCTTTTCAAGCGTATGCTTAGAATAAAACAAGGAACAAGAACAAGCAATAAAAAAAAAAGGATCGTTGCATTTCACGGATTGCAATACTTACACATTCATGACTTTGGCGGATTCATAAACTCCAACTGTCAGGTACTCCTGCTTCTTAGCAGCCTGCAGCAGCTCCTCCAGGGCTGCGCCTGCGCTTTGCACCCTTGAAAGAGACAAATTGGCATCATTAGGAAACTGCGCACGGTTCGCTAAACGGGCTAAAAAAGACATTTTAAAGCGTCAACGCGGCAGCAGGGACGCTGCGTCCATGTGTCAAAATATTTACCTGTCTGGGATTTCCATTGCGTTCTCTTGTCCGCGGATCTCTTCCAGAGTCATAGTTGTAATAATCCAAGCGCGATCGGGCTCGTTGTGGTGATCGGGAGCGGCGGCGGCGCGTTGTTCTCTGTTGTGTCTGTTGTCTCTTGCGTTTATTCTGAGCTCTGAGCGGCCGGTGGGCGAATTTATAGCGGATCCGCGTAGTTTCTCGGCAAGGGGCGGTCTTTTCCGCTCATGCGTCCTACCATTGGCTCGGAGCAGCCGGTGGGGGAGGGAGGGAGGGGTGGGTGGGTCGAGGAAAGCAAAAGTCCCCGGACAGTTACAGTGAGCTTGTTGACAAACCCACGTGGGGCAAGATTACAACCTTTCAAGAAATGTGAAATGCCCCCTCGCCTCCCCCTACCTCCCCTGCCCCCATTCCCCCCACCCACCACCACCGATTCCCGCTGGCCGTGTCAACATCCAACATCACCACAACAAAAAGTTTCACTGCAGAAAGCAGCCACGAATCTCGGAGTGCCACACATTAGGGTTCAATATGTTTTATTATTAAGTCTTTACTAAGAGGATGAAAATTCAGCATCCTAATTTAATTTATTATAATGGTTTATTCGGGTTTATTATCCACCGTGTTATCGACGAATACCAGGAAGCCGGCGTTTTATTCTTTGGTTGTGTAATTGTGGAGCACCATGTGATGTTTTCATCACATCATGATCTGTCGATAAATAAGGACGCTGCGGGTGGGGGGGTGGGGGTCAGCAGTGGCATCGCCGGGGAAATAAACTCTCCCGTGCAAAGTTTCTGGAACAATCCGGTGAGGATTGGACTTCCCCGGCGCGGGGAATCGGTGCTGGGTATAAATAACCCATGTGAACCCCCCCCCCCCCTCCACCCGGTGTCTGAAGCCTTTGTCCTGCCCTCATTAAACAGCTTGTTGACGGTGCACCTGCGTGCGCGTGCATCTTCCGTGTCAACCGGGTTACCACACGTGCTCTTCACAGAAGTCATCAGAGACTCCGATGCATGCGTTGCTTAATCTCCCCCCCCCCCCCCGCCCCGCCTTAGAAAAATAAATAAATAGGCCAAGATGTCTTAAATTGACGCGTGTGTGGCAGAATGTGCTAAGAAGCCGGCTTGGGGGGGGGCGGGGGGGCTGGCACACGCCACTTTTTCTTCACCCAGTTGAAGGGAAAAGGGAGCCGTGCGCGTGTCGCTTATCCCCAGAGAGAGAGAGGGAGGGAGAGAGGGAGGGAGGGAGAGACACTTTGTGTCACGACAATGCGCACGACCTCCACCTGCCTCCGGATACAGCGGCCACACTCTTTATGACCCCCGTGCTCATTCACTGCCCCGCGGCACATGCCCGACAGATGCGCCCCCCTCCCCCCGAAAGTGCCACGCGCCACGGCCAATATAGTCCTTTCAGGCCAGTTGATGTTATCAGTGCGGGATCGCATGTTTGCATTCAACATCATTCGCTTTATACGCAGACAGCGACGACTGTGAGTGTTTACACAGCCGCAGGTCGTCTGGACATAAGGATGATGTCTCCTATAAGGACATAAGGATGATGTCTCCTATAAACGCTTACGGAGGTGGTGTGTGTGTGTGTGTGGGGGGGGGTCTATGAGAAGGAGCACGATAAAAGTGCATCTGATTGCGGGGATGTTTCTCTACGTTAAAGGGTGCTTTCTCTAAAAGTCTCGTGCTAAATGATGAGTCAAATGACACACACACACACAGACACACACACAGACACACACGCACACACGCGCACAGGTGGACTGACATCGCCCCCTGGTGGTCGTTGAGGCCACACCTTTTGGGACCTTCGCTTATAGGCTTTGGTCCCAACGTGTTGATGAGTGAGTCCCATGACTCATGAGTCCAACCTCACACCTGCTGAGTCAGCAGCCAGAATGTTGTTGTTCCCAGACAGCTGGGGGGGGTCTCCAGCAATGCAGCATCCAAAGGGGGGTGAACAAAGACAATTAAAAATCCATTTGAATTGACAGAATTATATGCCCACCCTCCCTTTATTATCTATTTACACATGTATGTTAGATATTCTTTACATCCAAAAGTCCAATGCGGTCAGGTGATAAACAACATTACGTGAATAGTGTTGGATTCTTTGGGCCTTCTAAGATGATGAAGGGAGGTCGCTGGCTGGCTGTGAAAATCCCGACGTGGCATTGAGAAATACAACAAACCACTAAAACCAGGGACGGTCTCGAGCTGCAGCAACCCGTTCTGGCAGATCCTGAGCACTAAAATGTCACGGCCACTTCTTGGGATAAGCGAGGTTGTAAAAGCCGGGGCGGGCGTTTGAAACAAACATTTACAGGTGTTTTTGTCATTACCGAGCATATTAATTACTTGGTTAACATGAAGCCATATTCATTTTAATACCAAGTTTATTTGTATAAAGTAGACTAACGTTGGAGAAAAGCTCAATGCATCAATGCTAAGCTGACCTGAGTGGGAGATGCACATGGCTACTGTACAGTGGAGGTACTGGCATTGTGTGAAAACTTAGCATTAAGATATCTCTCTTACTACCTTGATGTCTCGTCAAGACAGGTGTCTGACTCAAGATATTTTTACGGGTGAAGGTATCTCAAAGACGTTTTTTAAAGATAGTTGCGTAGTATGATAACATGTGCCATTGGTGCGCTGAAAGAACGTCGGGCTATCCAACGTCGGGCTATCCAACGTAGGCTAACGGGCTAACGTTAGGCTGACGCCAACTTTTGAAAAATAAAGTTCTACTCGCAAAATGTCAGAAATTTAAAAGTTAGAAATTAGAAATGTTTGTATGCATGTCAGCCTTGTAAGGTAAATACAGTTAAAATACCCCAAAACTTTCAGTTTATTTAGTTTCCAACATTGAATATTTCCGTAATTTTGGTGAAACTTGAACAAAGGGTTCAAATGTGCCCTTCGGTCATTAGACTCCTCTGCCAGATAACACATATCAAGAAAACTTAGATATATAAAAAGTTTATTATTATTATAGATGTCCAGAAATGTCATTTACTTGAAGAGTTCCAATGTACAGAACACCACAATCATTTAACAGTATTAACATTTGATTCCTGGACTGTGTCAAATGACAAGTGCATTTGTTTAACATGATCAACATTTAAAATCTCACCGACTGTCGAGTATAACAAACAGCAGTTCCAATACCATTTAGATTCCACATACCACTGATGGGAACATAAGAAACAACAAAAGAAAGAAATGCCTCACTGACAAAACAGGTCATTACATTTGAGTACATTTTACTGCAACACGGTTCATATATTATACACAGATTCAAACCCCCTGGTCGGTGCACACGGGTGCTTCGGTATTCCAGGCACGTTCTGGAAGATGAGAGCTTCCTATGAAGTGGGAAACGGATTGTAGGGGTAGACTACGGTGGGCAAACGATGGCAAATTCAGTGACTAGTTTATTATTTTAAATTCTGACATATTTCTTGCTTTACTGTACAACATAAAAACAAAGCTTTCCATTTGTTTTCAAAAAGGAGCATGGATACCCTTGTTACAAGGGAAATACTAACAAAACTTTAAAAGTCTTCTAAATGGCCAAATGTCCTGCAATGGCTTAAGCATTACGGTGGTCAAGCAACCACTTTATTCAAGCTTCACGAGAATCAAGCAGCCTATTTTCTACTACGCAATGGATGTTTCTGGCTAGTCTGCAGTGCAAACTGTTGGACTACTTATTTTCACAACAATGTACCGGGAGTCCTTCATGGGCATCAGATGGTACTATCTTGATTTGCCGGCGTTGATGAGAGACATGGACCAAACATAGAACCGACCCCCTAAAATTTAGCAATAAAAAGGATCTTCTGCCATCAGCGCCGCATTGTGCATTAAAAAGAAATATGAGCCCTCAGTGCTACTTAAGTTGTATGTGGCCTACAGCTGTAAACATGTGTCGTTTATGGCGGCAGTGTCCAATTCTTTAGGTAGTTTAAACGCCTGAAATACAGAAATCTCTCCAGTTCCTTTTTGCCTACCGGACAAAAAGTGCAAATAAAGTAAACAGTAGTACATCTGAAGGTTATTAGAGGGACAGAAGATTGATTAAAGAGCCTAATAATTACTGGTATGTTCCCTTCATCCTTTTGCAAGTTAAAGCTTCCCTCTGGCAAAGCAGTAGGAACGTATAGCTCCCTCTGCTGGTTACATCGATCGTCATCTCCCACTACATTTCGTCTGAGCGGCGCTGCTGCAGTATGACGGACGGAGGGTTCCGCTCTATCCAGTTGTCCTTGGATCCCGGGACTTCGTACGCCACAGCGGCATCCAAGGATCCTTCCTGCAAGGGCCCCGCTCCGCCAGCCGGCGCCGGCTTCATCTCCGCGGCCTGAGCGGCACCGGGGAGGAAGTCCGCAGAGGAGTTGCTGCTGACTCCCGTTTCGGGGTCGGGCTGCTCCACCGCCTCGAAGCCGGGCGTGTGATTCTTCTGGCCGCCGATGGATAAGGCTTTGAGGTTCTCCAGCTCGGCTTGGGGCACTAAGAGGACTCCCTCGTCCTCGACGTAGGTTATGGCATCCAGGCTCTCTTGTGGCACCGAGCGCAAAGTCCGGGAAACGATGACTGCAAAGACGAAATTCAAGAAATATCAGTCACACAGCAGATCTAACCAACGCACACCACATTTAACATCTAGTTACAAAAGAAGATGCCGCAATAAAGTACAAATATCTAAAATGTTATTTCGAGGTGACTTACTGGAAGAGGGTGTGTAGAGCTCCTTCTGATCTTTGTTGGCCCCAAATGGATTGACCGACGGGAAGATGATGAGACAGAAAGAGAGCAGGAACACCTAGAGGGAAATCCCAAGAGAGTGTGAACAAACAACAAAGACAACCGCAGCACGACAAAGAAGGCGGCGCCGTCTTAATTTACCATGACACAAGTGCTGGTCGTGCTGGCCTTCATTGTCGACATCTTCACGATTGCCTGCAATTTTTTCAGTTGCTCTATCAAAGAGCTGCGAGATGCAAGAGCACAAGATCCCCGTGGTGGCCGTCAGCAAATGAAAAAAGAAACTTTCTACATGCGTATTATTAGGTATTCATGCAGAAGAGCTCTTACATGTTCTGTTTGTGGAGCATTTGCACTTTCTTCTGTAGTTCCAGGTTGTGTGCGGTACAGATGGCGACCCTGTGGTAGACATTGGTTCAGTAATTAAGGGATTTTTTCCAAAAGTCTGAACAAATTAGTCACAGGCAATTGGTACACCTGCTTAACATTAGTAGATGCATTGATTAGTCAAACTATAGAAAAAGAATTGCCAACTATTTTTATATATTCAAAAGGATTGGGGTTTTTTTGGCATTTTTTGAGCCGTAACACAGAGCACCTTGTTCCAAAAATGTCGCTCAATGGTTAAGTCAATTCATTTCTAATTGATAGTCATTTCTGTCTCTTCATCTCACCTGTTTTCCAGTCCGTCGACATACACCTTCTTCTTCTTGCGGCTCTCCTGAGCAGACTGCTTGTTGCGTATCTTCCTCCTGACCCTCTTCAAGGTCCTCTCCTCAGCCTGTTACACAGAGAGAGGGCTTTCACATTACAACGTCCACATAAAAAGCCAGCCGTGAGCAGCTATTACTATATTTTAATAATTAAAACTCAAGTGAACGTTTTCTGCGTCATTTACCTTTGTGAGTGGCATGTGTGTGGGAATTGTCGCTCCCTCCTTCCCCAAAAGCCGCTTCTCTTCCTCAGTGAGCACAATCTCATGAAACTGGAACTAAAGAGGAGGAAGGACTTTAATCTTCTGTAAAATGTGGTATTACAGTTACGACATGCAGAAAAACTCAGCAGATAATGTCCCCAGCATGAATGGGTTATTTAAACTGAAGCGGTCAGTCTTCTTCAGGCAAACACTTTGATCCCCCAAAAAAGAAAAACTGACCTGATCTGCTGGAGTCAAATCCTGCGTTGAGTCCTCCATGTCCAAAGTGCAAGGCAGCTCGTCTGTGAAGTCCTCCTCTATTGCTTCACTCACCAAGTCGTCTGACAGGAGAGAAATACCTTTTGAAGTTGACTTAATCTTCTCATTTGGTGGGAACATATTCAGCATCGCTCAGACTTAACGGGCACTCAATGCTGTTTTGTCAGCATTTATTAAAGGGTTGGATAAGTTACCAAAAACAAATTCACCTATAGAACTTAACGTACCCAGATCAATGAAGACATCTGTATCTGGCTTCTCTGCCCTCACACTCTGCAGGACATCCATGTCGCGGCCTCCGCTCTGCAGCAGCGAGTAGCTGTGATCCGCCTGGACTGTCAGAGACTCTGGGCTCTCCGTCTGCATCTCTCCAGGGGCCGGGGCCTGGTCCGAGTGCACCGGGCTGGGCTGCGAGTAGCGGGGACTGGGCACCACGTCGCTGTCACTGCCACTGCCCTGGGGACTCGGGCATCCCAGACCGGTGTTGTTTCCAACCCCGGTGCTGCTGTCGTCGGAGATGCCGCTGTCGCTGCCCAGGGGGGAGTGAGAGGGGCCCATGGCCTCCATGTTGTACCCTCCCTCCAACAAGCTGGACAGAAAGTCTTCAGTATCCATTCCCGTCAGCATCTGGGAGAAAACTAAAGGTTAGCTTTGAGGCCGAGAGTATGTCTTGGCTTTCAGACCGACTTCATCAAAAGTGCATATTTTTATTCTGTGAATGAGCTCTCACATCTTGCTCCGACAGCCAGGATTCAATGAGTCCATTCCCATCAGCAAACAGGGGCTCAGTGGATCCATCCACTTCATTGTGGAACAGCAGCCCCAACAGGTCTGTTCCATCCATGTCGGGAAGGTCCTCAGTGACTGACATCTTTAGCAGCACATCAGAATGCAGTGCACAGCGTTAACAACCACATCGACGGACACACAATATCTATACCAGAATACAAGCACAGTGACAGACTCAGCTTGGGTATTTTGACAATTTCTTCCTGCAAAAGCCTTTAACAGAGAACTTATATGTAGTTGAGAACAATACTTTGCAAGCCTGGCTCAGCTGGACCCTGGATGCAGAAATGTAAACATAAAACATTGTGTTGTTGTTGTTGAACATCTTTGTCATTACCAAGCATATTGATTACTTGGTAAACCGAAGCCATGTTCACTTTAATACAACCTTATTTGTAAATAATAAGCTAACTTTTTACAGCAGTGAGAGAAGGATTTATGCATGGCCACAAGTACAAGATCACCTCTATTGTTTGTGGCTGTTGGGCGATTTATCATGAATAAAAGCAAATCCTAAAAAATGAAAGGCCGAGCAATGAAAACGTAATTCAAAACTTTAAGATTAAAAGCGAGTATTAGAAATGTTTGCATGCATGTCCGATTAAAACAAGATAAGAAAATACAGTTAATTACCCCAACATTTTATTTCTGTTAATCCCTGTATATTCCTGTTAATTCCCATGGAAATATTCCAACTCAATATTCCCGGAATTGCAGCCGTACTCATAGGTTGCACCACAGTTATGTAGTGCTTAGAACCATTTGCAGATGAATCAGATGATGGTGAAATAAAAATACACCATCATAAATAAATGGGATTATGCCAGCAAATGGTCTGTTTACGCTTTTTACGATTTTATATTGTTGCAAATTTACAGAAACATATTTGGATTTCATTACGGTCATTTGATTAGGAATATTTCATACAAGGACTTTGACTGATAAAGTCATATAAATAGGTAGTACTAATAATTTTTTTTTAAATCACAACATTTCGATATGGAGTTCAGTGCTGTTCTAGTGGAGTCCAAAATCACAACAATGTAATTAGTGAAACTATGACCATGCAATGTGTGATTTAAGACAAAATGATGATTATGATGAAGCGATGGTGCACTGAGCTTCCACTCTACTATAGATACGATTCCTGGGGCCTTTTTCTGTAGCTTTCCCGACACGCTGATCTCCATGTGGAGACTGGAAACAATCCAGGAGCCACAATACGTAAGCGTGCCAATGTAAACAAGGCACTGTGCTTTGAGTCAATGAGTGGATAACACGTATACTAAATTGCTGAATTGCTTTGTTGATGGCTTCACATATTGCATCATTGCCACGCTCCCATCATGACCTCATCTTTTATTGAGCCCCGCCCCCAACATGCCTTTGTCACGAGATCCGAATGCAATGTCAAGAAAATAATAACAATAAAGATGCATAGCATCAATTAAATTCCAGGAAATAACGTTATATTCTGCATTGCTTGCAACGGGTAAAATCTGAGGGAAACAAATGTGAAATCTGTCGTGTTTTTGCTGTCTATCATAATAAGAGCCTCGTGTTGTTGCCATTGCACTCGTGTAACAAACTGAATGTTAGTCAACTCTGCACGAGCATTCTACGTGATATAACGTTACTCCAATAGCAGGAAGAAGTAACAATACAGGCTCAGGCCAACGGCTGTTAGCTTAACAATCCTTTCATGATCTTTATCGCCAGGAGGGCGTGGTCCTTCGCGACAAAATAAACCCGTCGAAACACATTACACACTGTTAATGTCAAATTACGTTTCGTACCGTTCGATGACAGGTCACAAAATACCATTCGAGTGAGAGCGTCCGGGTGTCTTTGGCTTTCTCCACTCAGCGTTTCTTCGCTGCTGTTAACAGTAGTCTACTGTCGCGGCACCACTTCCTCTTGAAACTACCTTCCAACGAGGCAAAAATTGCGTCATCGCGTAAAGGCGGATATGAGTGCGTGAGCTGCCGCGGTGGTTCTGGGAATTGTAGTTTACGGCAACCTATCACGTATTATGCTCAAGAGCATAACTGTAGTAGCACCAGTTAATTACAACTAATGGAAATAAACTAACAAAAGATGAAAAACGATCCTTTTGGCTGATGTGCTTATTCTTTTCTCATGCCGTTTTGGAAAATACAGCAAAAATAGTATAAATGATATCAAATAATGTTTAGTATAAAATTATATATATATATTTTATATATGATTTATACAAATCATATATTAAAACATAACAAAAACATTACAAAATTGATTTAACAACTGAAGTGTGCGGGTTGTCCTTATAATTGCTTCACACTCTTATACAAGTCTGTATTATCTGATAATATTAATAATAAAGTAAAAAGCTAGACACCGGAAAAACTGCTCAAAAAAATCCCAGTCAATGCACATCTCAATATCGGGTCGATATGAATAAAACACAAAGGCATCAATGTTTCACAAAAAGACAAATGCATTTACATTTTACAATTTATTCCATTTAACACATGAGCATAAACATGGCATCAGAAAAATATACAATGACTGAAACTCATACGTAGAATGTCTGAGTTTGTACTTAAAATGTATTTTGCCACATGATCAAGTAATAAAACTTTGGTGATTGGTATATTGGTATTTGTAGTCTGATGACATGTGTGTTCTTTCTCAGGCCACAGGAAAAATATAGCGAGGTCATTCCGATAAAATCAGCGTTAACAGCAGGAACGTCTTATAGAGATACATCAAGTAATGTAACATGTGAAAACTCAAGTTATCAAAAACATTAACAAGTATAATTTAACCTAAATCTGGCTGATTTTAGAACATCAAATAAAACTAAGGCATTCAAGAAATGTGCAAATGAACTCAAAGACACCATGTACCATGTTTTGAATGCATGTTTTACCACTTTTATCAATAGCATAATTTAGTGGATATCTGTCTCTTTTCCTTTAGATGTATGCTACATTAATATCTCACCAGGCTCATTGGTTTTGCTGAGCATAGCATGAACGTTGGCTAGGAATATCTGGCATACATTGCCCAGAGTAAAAAGTAGTAAATGCCATCTAATCATTATTTTAACTCAAATCCGTTATACTTTTTTACATTTCCAAATCTCATCAGTATTACAGGTCCCCGTCCAAACAGGAAACGACAGAATTAACTGCGTCGACATTCTCACAGAGACTAATATTACTTACTAGAAGAAAGATACTAAAGTAAAGAAATCCCAGATTTCAGAAGCTCACTGGGCTTTTTAACCAGGATTTAAATTCAAACTGCCGGACTGAATAGCAGTTTTTTGTATTTACTAACAAAGTCCATGCAATCTCCCCCCCCAGACTAAAAAAGCCAATTAATTCCCAGAGAGCGAGGCGAAGCACTTTGTCACAGAATCACGCAGAGTTTAGACGTGTGCCTCAAGCTGCGGTACACTTTTAGCCGTTCCTTTTTACTCGTTGCAGTTGGTCTGACTACCTGCGTGACCGCGGGCGTCCGCTCAGCAGCCCGTTTCTTGTGAGCCCGGTGCAGCAGGATCCTGTAGCATCCTGTGATGGAGCTTCTGCAGTCCTTCCCCTGGTTGTTCAAGATGTGTTCTGCGCTGATTCCCATCGCCTCCAGTGCCGCTTTCACCTCCACCTCCTCCCCTCCGAGGTTAGATGGATTGCTCTCCGCTAGGTAGGAGGGGTCCAGCTTGAAGGGCTCCATGGCGCGCGGGAAGTCCACAGGGAGCAGCCACTCGCAGCCCATCATCTGCTCCACGGTGCAGCGCTCAGATGGTATGGGATGGAGGATTCCCCTGATCAGCCTCTGGCATGCCTCGGGCACCCAGGGGGGCAGGATGTAGGCTCCCTCCAGGATGCAGCGCTTCAGTTTGGCCACGGTGTCGGCCCTGAACGGCATGGTGCACGTCACCATGAAGAACAGCATCACCCCCAGGGCCCAGATGTCCACGAAGACGCCGACGTAGTGCTCGTCCCGAAAGAGCTCCGGCGCGGCGTACGGCGGAGAGCCGCAGAACGTGTTGAGGGTCTCGTTGCGGCGGCTCAGCGTGCTAAAGCCAAAGTCCCCGACCTTGACACAGGAGCTGCTAGTGTAGAAGACATTTTCGGCCTTCAGGTCGCGGTGGATGATGTTGTTTTCGTGCTGTGTGAGTGCAAGGAGAAACTGCTGTTAAGTAAAGGCCACACACACATGGACAGAATGGAGAATGTCAGTGTCCAGCAGGTAAACATTTTGTCATTAACAGTATTTGTATATTCATAGCTTTTGGATATTGTCGATTCAAATACAGTCAAAAAGGTAAAAAAAAATGTTTGCATGAAAAGCATACCAGCCACAAGTTATTAATAGAAAGAGAGTCATTGTATGCCTTTTAAAATATGTTGTGTGGGATCTTTAAGGATAAGAGACGCAACATTATTAGAATCTCGCAGACGGAAACCAATGACACATTTTCTCACTGAAATTCTATTGATTCAGCAAAACAGCTGCATGGACAAATGGATAAACATTGTTTTCCTAATATTTTACGATAAACAACCCTCATATGAATATTCTGAGGTATTAACAGAATCTTCTTCTTAATCCATCCATCATTGACTTTCCAGTTATTTTACTTAAACGGACCACCTTGATGGAAACCTTATGAACTGACCATGTGTTTCACAGCAGAGAGAATCTGAGCAAAGACAATCTTGCAATTGGAGTCAGAAAGCTTCCCCTCCGTGGTGATCTTGGTGTAGAGCTCCCCTCCCGCTGCGTACTCCATCACCAGGTGTAACCGTGACAACGTCTCCACCACCTAAAAAAGGAAGTGGTGTGACCAGAATGTCAGCGAGCAGAGTCAATAAGTATATCAGATGTGTTGGGCCCAATGTTGTGATCGTCGCAGAAGTTTTTTTTTCTTTTTTGTGATCAAATAACATTTGCACGTAAATCGACTTGACTATGTTCAAGAGTCAAACCTCGTAGAGGCGTATGATGTTGGGATGGTGCATTTTCTCCATACTGGAGATCTCTCTGGACAGCAGCCTCTGAGTCTTCTGATCCAACTTGGTTTTGTCTAGGATCTTTATGGCCACTTTATCTGGTGGTTAACAAGGGAGAAGATGACAGTCAACGATCTTGATTTGTACAGAGTCAGTAAGACCGTTATGAAAAGATGCAAAGAAATACTTAATAGGAAATGAATCAACCTAAAATATCCAGAAAACCACAGAATTGACCTAGTTCATTTGATGGAGGATCATGAACCAATTGTCTTGATTATGTTCTTTCAGAGTCAAAGCTTAAAAAGTGAATGTGCTTTTGCAAACTAAGGAAAATTGTTGTTTTATATGTGAAGTATTTGAGCACATTTGGATTGCCAGGTTAAGGTGAAATATAACAGGAATACACCAACTGTTTGGGACAATGTCCATGCCACCTTGCATACACAATTGCAATTCAATACAACTGATATTTTCATTGTATTCTGTCAAATAGTTAAATCGGCCCAGGTAACTGAATACAGTAAAGTTCTTAAGAGGTAAAATGGTGTTGAGATATCTAATTGTGCGTCAGTATGTATTATTCAGGCTGGTATTAGGCTCCCTTTCAGCTTTCAATAGAAGCATTTAAAATGCATTGGCGCTTTTAGGAGGGCTAAGTGATACACACCCCCCCCCCCCCACACACACACACATACACAGCATGACAAAGACAAAGAAAGTACACATAGCCCAGAAAATACAAAGTGCCCGCACACACGCACAGAGCTGCCCTCTCCTCCCTCTCTTTGATGATTTGATGAGGCTTGCAGCAATTTTAGCCGTCGCTAAGGAAACTGGAGATCTCTAATCAATCCATCTGTTCAAGGGCAGCCGACAGTCTGTCTCTTAGTGGCTGAATCAGCTCCCTGGCCAGCACACGGCACTTTGTAAGCGGATTGCTACATAAGGACACACTTGTTAGTGCAGCGGCCCATTGATGGAAACAACCATATGATCATTTTAATCGAATACAAACTAAAAGAGCACCGCTGAGACTCTTAAATAGAAATGGGGAGCAGGTAGTGATGGCCAGTCTGCCCTCATACTAAAGAACAGCATTAGAGTATGTAGGATTGACACCGTTCGACAGATGCAGGGGTTTCAGTAGTTCACTTACGTCTCGTACTACCTACCTTTGGTGAGCGCATGAATTCCTAGCTTGACATGAGAGAAATTTCCACAGCCAATCTCTCCCCGAATTTTGTAGAAGCCGATCCTTCTGCCCACTGTTAGCTCTCGGACCACCCTGCGACCGGAGCACACGACAGGAGATGTACCACTTAATATTCTTTACCAGGTTGGCCGCTGAGGACGATTCCACCAGCTGGTAAGTCAAAAACTAATAGTGAATAAACGCAAGGCTACGGCCTCATCTCTTGACCCCTATACCTTTCATCCTGGCACATGTCCAGGTTCAGCCTTTCCAGGGGCGTGAGGCGGCGGGCGGGCGCTCCCTCATCATCGGTGTTGATGTCGGAGCTGTCCTGGCGGCTCCAGCGCGAGTGCCTCTGGCCGCCGCTTACCACGGCCGAGCCTCCAACCGAACCTCCGACGGAGTCCCCGTTTGACTCCCCGGTTTCGGCCCCGGAAACGGAGATGCTCCCAGCGGCGCCTGCTGCCCCTGGGCCCCGAGTGCCTGCTGTCCTGGCCCCGGCTTCAGCACCCTCCGGGCTGCTCTCGGACGGGCAGACAGCAGTCATCCTGCAAGGGACTCCCAGGGGGCCGAGCGGGGGCTTAGCTCATGGCTGAGGGGGGGGGGGGGGGGGGGTTAAAGGACTGGTCGCCCGATAAGCAAAGAAAAGTGATTTGATTGATTGACCCTCATGTTATTTTGCCACAGCCATTTAAAGTTTACTCTTAACTCTTGTACAGTGTTTTTATTTTTGTTACTCCGCCGCTGTATTTTGGGGGTTTTAATTCAACAGTCAAAGAATCTTATGTTAAAATACTCATCAGATGTTTAGAAGCAATATAAATAGCATATAGCGTTAATATTTGCTATTCCCGGAGCCATGACCAGGACAACTCTCTACCCTTGATTTTTCTCAGGGCGTCCTCCATCTGGTGTCCCAGTGTAGACTTGTAAGGCTGATGGTACACACCTACAACGTCCACGCTTTTATTCTCCAAACACCATGAATGTAATATAAATGTATAAGGGCCAGGGGACAGGTGGGGTTACGGTGTGCGGTCCATGAAAATGTGATCGGAGTCAAGGCCAATAAGTCTGAATTGTATTATTTTGGTTTTGATGAAAAAAAGAGAACGGGTCCAAAAGACCCGAACCCATAAGGGTTAAATTTAAAGGCATGACGACTGGTGAATCTGCTATAGAGCTTATTTACATGGTGAGGTATCATCAGTATAAATGTGTTACATTTTTGTTGACTAAACATATCAGAATACATTTTGTAAAAGTGACACAGCAAGCAGAACAACTAAATTAACAGCTACTATCATACCGTTAATTAAAAAGTACAAACATCTGGACTTACCTTCAGAAGTGAGCCATTTAGAAGGTTAATTATTTCACCGTCCTCGCCCAAATCTCATGGCATAACGTCGTCATCAAACAAACGCTATGAATGCGTTTTTCCCCCCATAGAAACGGAACACAGCCTCCAGTCCAGTGACCCAAGTGCCAGTTACAAATAGTCTGCTTCACATATATCAGTTTGTCATCTGATGCATGATAGACATACGGCCTTGTTTTATTTCCCAAAAGTCAAGTAATCAAATCCATTTTGTGTGTTTTTTTTTCTTCCCTTTTGTCCAAGAGAAGGCGCTGAAGCTGGAGATCAGACCGGCCGTGGATTCATGCTCACTGGTCTCTCCTGCTTGAAGAGGTCTGCGGCGCTTTTAATGGGCTCCTTTGAGTCTCCAGGGTATAAATAGGCAACAGGTTGAGGAGGAGGGAAGAGGAGCTGGATGGGGGGGTTTAGGAGAGAGGTGGAACAGATGATAGTGTCAGGGTGCAACCATGCTGCGTTGAGCCTGACAACCTGAAGAGAGAGACAAAAAGAAGCGTCATTTATGTTGAATGTGCGGCTCTTATCCCTCCCACGGATGCCCAACATCTGTGCAAAGCTAAACATGTATTTCCACAGCCACCATGTTAAAGAGTTTGTGCGCTCGTGTTCACTTCAGTGTCCGTGTATTGTAATCCGTACGCTCAGCGCTCGAGTCCCGCTCCGAGGGCGACGCAGGCTCAAGTTGCCATGGGAGCCAAACCGGACAAAGTAGAGGTCCCTCCCCTCCATCACTTCTACCACCAAGAATATACCAACTCAAGCTAACTTATCACATTTCAAATGTGGAGTATGAGGGATGAATTATCCCTCATACTGTGTGTGTGTAAGGCACAGTACGTATTCACTTGTAATGATTGCCTGTGCTCAGAAAACAAAGCTCTAAGAATGTCCCACGAGAGGAAGCAGACAGGGTGACTGACGTGTTGAATCCTGATTTTGCAGACATATATGTTCATTAGAAAGCTCAAATCAGTCAAACAGACTCAATTAAAAAGGTAAGCTGTTTGACATCCACACAATAGCAAAAAGACAAAAACGCATCGTCTAATTAAGATAAATTTCACTAATTTATTGCTGTGAGATCCTATTTCTCAGTGCTGCAAAATGTCCCAAAGAGTCCAGTTTTACAGTTCATATCATAAATACAATTGACATATTGGTCAACTTAGTGTAACATGGTGCTTCTCTCATCCATCTCTGCAACAAGATGAATTAATCTATATTAAAGCCTCGCCAGGAAATCAAAGCCATTGTCTTTTGCGAGGCCCGCGGTCTCCGAGCCTTCAAACACCTTCCTGCCGTGGCACCATGAATATCTACGCATTGATCTCAGGCAGCCTAAAAGGACTTGCTAAGAGAGGAGAGGCTTCCACTTTACAGCACAAAGCAACAACCTCATAAACGTTGTACCTGCCTTTCACGTATGTAAATAAAAAGACTAAAAAGGACAGCCGTGCATGAGAGGAACACATCAATTTTGAGCGGAGCCAGAAAGACTTTGGGATGTAACTATGACTATGAAACTGCATTTTTCATTATTAGATGTTTATTGTTGATATACTGAGTAAGGCCAGCCAGTGCAATGTCACACAGCTAATCAGACACCCGTTTGTCATTTCACATCAGTCACCTTCCTCCAACTGTATTTGCTTCTCCCGTTTTTCTTTAAATATCAAACTGCACAACTAGCGAGTTTTCTGCTGCTCTGAGGTCAAACCAGTTCCCTGCACAGCTGCTGGTACGTCACTGGCTCCAAACTCCCTTATCTGAAACATCTTGTACAGAAAACACATTTTTATTTCCTTTCATACACCGTGAAAAGACTGTGAAAACAAAAGGAGTAACGGACTTAACCCACCTCCACATGGACGAGGCTAACCCAGAATTTTCATATGTCACAGCATAAGACAACTACAAAACCAGGAGCTCCAGGAGCAGCCATGCTTCTAATCTGAGTGCTCTCCAAGTCAGCTTTCTGGAGGAAGAGGAGGAGGGAGCTTAAAAGACAAAGACAAGAGGATACGGAACTTGAGCATGTGAGCAATGTAAATCATTTGATGAGAAAGCCAGAGATGCCCAGCAACAACAAGAGGATGCTCAGATTAAAGAACAAGAGCTAGAGTCAGCGCAACTTCCAGTTTCCAGTTTTATGAGACACAATCTCCCTGAAGATGATGATCAAGGTGGAGCATCTGCTCTTACTCCCCCATTTCACAATGGAAATGCATCAACTTCTTTTTATAATCTACCTCCCTCCAGGATATTCACTGCGGCCCCGCCAAACCTGACGTATGCTGATTCCCATCCTCATTTGGCTTTAACTCGCCCACTTCGTCGTCATCATCATCATTCATGAGTGGTCCTGGACCGCCCACTTTCACTGGTGGTTTACCCCCAATGCAATCCGTGTCATTCCAGCAGCCACAACCGGTTTACCCACATCCGCAAACCCACAATATCAGCGATTTGTCCACAGCCTTCGCCTATGAAATATCAAGACCTTCACTCCCTGTGTTTAAGAGTGGCCGAGAGTGATTTTGCCCTCCTTAAAATGGCTCTGGATAACCTTCTCGGAAATCTAACCTTAGAACATCTTCAGCACCCAGGAGAGAATACATTGGCTAGATCCAGCATGCATGAAATTGACCTTATTCCACTGGCACTTCAGGAGAAATGTGGTCAACCAAGCCTGCTGGTTCAAAGTGAGATTGGAGCAATTTTGAATTCCCCCAATATTCGCATGGGTGACGTGGAGGCCTTTTCTGTCCATGCTCTGGTTGGAATGCTGCTGTCCCTGGAGGGCCTTATGGGACTGAAATAAGATGTGGCCCTCATGTTGACAGACTCGTCAGTAAACTCCCAGTGCAGTATAGAGATGGATTTCTATCATCCCCTATACTGCAGGTCCGTCTGCAGCTGGTCTCTATGCTGTGAGGGACGTGACCGAGGAGAGCTCCTCTGCTCGGACAGGAGAGCGTCCTTCTTAGCTCGCACCCGCTAGAGCTCCTCTGACAGACTGCATATGTTGAATCAGATCGGCCTAGGCCTCCATTCATGGTGTGGGAGGTGGCTCACCACTTGGTGCCTCCTGTGGGAAGGAGGGCAAATTGCATGCAGTTTGTAACACCCCGGGATCCCAAAGGAGTGCGCTGTGAAACGTTGCTGGGGAGAGGGACCTTTGGCCTTCTACCGCGACCTTTAACCACCATCAAAGTCAATTACCAATTATCTGCCTAAGGAAGAGAAGGCAGAGGGTTGTCCTGGCACACTTTGTTTCTGACCACTTATTGAAAAACAGAAGCCATCCCCACCAGCTGTGGATCGAGAATTAAGACACACTTCACCAGCTATCAAACATCTGTTTTGTCCCTGAAAAGCCCCTCACCTTCATTCCAAATGCTTGTCACATTCCCTTTTTCACGTGCATTCAGGCACAAAGACGACGCACGCGCAAACACACGCACCCTTTGCACGAGCACTCGTGTCTGTGCGTACACACAAGTGTGTGTGTGTGTGTGTGTGTGTGTGTGTGCACGCACAAGCAGATGAGCGCTCTCCACACAAAGCTCCCCCAGTGTGTTAATTGAGACACAGGAATGACAAGAATAAAAAGCTCAACAGTGACGACGATGAAGAATACGGGCAGTAGGAACAGAGAGACAGGCTTCTCTTGTAATGGTAAAATATAATGATGCTATAATGTTTTATTACATTAATGTCTAAAGCTAATCATGACTTTAATTCTGAGGAAGTTCCATGAGCTCAGCTCCTTGCCTGCCTTCAAGCCAACAACAAAAGTAAGGTGTTAACCCTTTCAGTGTATAAATATATCTGTGCTGCTCTCATACATTAAGAAGAAGCTTGCCACAGACGGAAAATACAACTTCAATTCTACGAGACTTTATAACCGATTCCCGATTGCGTGAGAAAATCCTCCACAGCACTCTGGAATCTATGGGAGTAACATCTGACCTCACAATCCGTCGCTCCTGAAACTGCACAGCAATAATACATGGAGATATACGGTACGCAACTTCACCATTGTTCTTACATGTATTTTGTCAGGCATTCATCTTGTGTAGCATGACTTCTCCCTACTGTGGTTATGAAACGGCGAGAGAGAGAGAGATCTCTCTGAGGCATTAACAAAGTAACCATGACGATGTATGCAGGGAGCATGAGAAAACATAATGCCGCAGACACTTTTAAATCCTGCATTCACCAAATTAAATCCAAATCTATTTGGCCAATTACATTTTCCTGCTTTAAAGAGCCATCTGAGTGTGCATTTGATTCACTGTCAGTGCTTCAAAGCGGTCTGCATCAAAGAAAGAGCACATGAAGCGCAATGTTTCATGTGCTCGGACTGATTGGCCAGCCAATAAATTAAAAGAACAAATTGCATTTCTGTCGGAAGTAATCAGACCACTAAAAAAGTGCTATCGCTTCAAAGAAACGGAAATGGTGCCTACAAAAGTGAAATACATTGCCTGTGCAATATGCAATACATTCAAAATGTATGGCTAATTTAGAAGAGGGCAAATGACACACAGATTATAAGGCAATGTGGAGAATTTTTATGGTTCCATTTTCAAAGACACGCGATGTGCTGGTGACGTGCAAATCTAGCTGAGTCATATGAATCGCTCATCTCTCTCAGCAACCGACAGCAACTTTGGCATGAAAAAAAGTGTGTATATGCGATATAAACCCTCCTCTCCATTCATTTAAGGCCACGGAAAAGTACTTGGAATAATTTGACAAACAAATTGTATCTATCTGTGTTGTGGTGCAAGGAATATAACGACAAATACATAAGTAAAATGCAATTTAAAAATTAATTGTGATTTTTTTTTTTTTTTACATTTTAAAACAGAAAGCTGCTCTGGAGTAAACAAACCCGTCTGTTCATTGAGTGGTTCGTCTGTCGGTGTTCAATGGCAACAGTCAACAGCAGGCCATTACCTGCACCGGGCCGGCGACGCTCCCTCCATAATCCCGTCACCACGACATGACGTCACATGACGTGACCGTGTCTTACTTGCGCGGGTGTCTTCACGAGCCCGTGGCGACCGGCTTCACCGACCTCGCCGTGACATCACCTCGGTCCGGCATCCACACGGTGACACTGAGCTCCCCGGTTCTCCGCAGCAGCTGCTCCGCGCGGTTCGGTCTCTCTGTGGAGGAAATCCGCTCGTTTGACGGGTGAAGCGACCAATGGGCGGCGGAGTGCGCGAGTCCTGCGTGGGGCTCTTATCCAATCAGATGCGCGATGGCGGTTCAGCACCACGGGAACTGTCCGCGCCAGGAGGAGGAGGCGGGATGTGACTCTGGCAGAGTCGTAGCGCAGGTTCAAGGTGGGGTCAGGGGTCAGCCGCAGGGCGGAGCGAGAGGTGTCTCGAGCTCACTATGTGCGTGTGTGTGTGTGTACCGGGTTGTTTTAATATAAATATGGATGACTACCAAAAGCTTAAAAAAGGAACTAAAACATATTAAGGTCCACTCCGCTTTTTATGGGTCTTTCATCTGAAGCTCCATGGTCTTCCTCAGTGGATGTTTTGTAGCTCCTTATGTCCTCACTGAGAAAATGAGATTATTTCCTTCCAATGTTACTTACTGGGCAATAATCTCATGTTATAATTTTTTATAACAACATAGCTCAAGTAACAGATGACTAAGTTAGGATCAGGACATTCTTTCAATGATATATAATGACTCACAATGTGCTCAAACACATGGCGGAGGTAGTACTGTTCATGTCTACATGAGCAAAATACTTCATGGTTGCACAATAAAGTGAAGAGGGTATTGGAAGCGGTTCTTGAGATATGTGAAGAACATACAGAAAGAAGGCCGGCCAGAAAGTGATATCATATGATTACAACACGTATGCTGCAGTATGGCAGTTAGACTGTGCACCCAGTAGGCAGGACTATATTGTGGTTAATGAAATCTGCAGTTGACCAACTGCAAAGTTCCGAATGAGTTCAAAAGGAGTTTTTTTCCACTTGGGGCAATTAAAACAAGCTGCAAACACCACCCTCCGAAGGGAAAGAGGTCAAACGTTTGTACATCCAGCAGATATGGAGCAGGCTTAAGGAAAGGGGGAGAAAGCTGAAGTCACACTTGATTTTAAGATGCAAGACTAGTAGCCCATGCTGGAGACAAATTTTATTTTGTTTTTCCTAGGAAAACACGGAAAGTCAATATGAAAATAAGCTTAAACAAACCTGGAGACTGGAAATTCAGCACCATACGTATGCAGCAACAAGGCCCTTTTCATTGTCAAACTGTCTTGGCAAGTGACCCAAAATAAAATAATATAATTCAATAATGTAATATAATTCAATTATTAAAATAAGGGCACAAAAAAAAAAAAAAAAAGCGCTGAAGATGCTAGAGTTCACATCGAAAAAAAAAACACGTGATATGATGGCAAACAGCTTATAAATAAATACAGGATCAGTAGCGGAAAATGATGCGTCTCCGTAGCCCCGCCCATAAGTTAAGGGGGTGACGTTGGAAACGGACTCGCTCGACGTGATGGCAGACAGCCGCACATGTTGCATGGCAACATGCTGTATTTCACATGCACGGTTCTTTATGTAAAAACCTCTTAGCTACCAGGAGAGCGCCTCCGCTCGGGACTGGAAGAGTGTCCTGCACTTCCTTTTGTGACACAGTCCTTTTATTTTCCACATCCTCATACAGCCACTGCTTGCTCTGCCTCCTCGGCGCTCACCACTTCGCCCGCCACCTCGACCTCCACCTGAGAGTTCACCACCTGCTGCCCGTCAACGTCCGTCGTGGTCACGTGCACCACTTGGATCTGCAAGCCGGCCTGCTTCAATCGCTCCACGTCCTCCTCGCACATTTCCGCCACCCCTCCGTCCTCCAGCACGACCGTCGTCCTCTCCTCCATCTCCATCACGTCCACGGGCTCCATCGTGACGTGCTCCACCTGGATGCCGTGTTCCAGCAGAACCGCTTCGTCTCTCTCTATGCTCTGCGTTTCGATGGCGAGGGACGTGGCGGCGGCGGAGTCGCTGATGACCTCTTCTTCCGTTGACTTGTCCTCAACGGAATGGATGTGTATGAGGTGGGCCTTCAGGTCCTTTGGGTGGGTGAACCACATGTCGCACATGGTGCAGTGATTGGGCTTGTCGCCCGTGTGGCTCACAAGGTGGTCTTTGAATTGGTCCCAGCTGTTGAATACGCTGCTGCAGACCTGATGGGAGGAGAAACAAGTGGGGCCACATTGGAATTGTTGGTGTTAAATATGCATTAATATCTATTAAGAGGAAAAACACAGGACTGACACATAGTTCAGTTCTAAATGTAAACCCTCACACTCTAAACTGGGACAACACATCAGTACATGCAGAACTGGTCAAATATTCAAGGAAGTCTGGGTCCGAAATAAGATATATATCAGAGTTTTTTTTAACTTGATCAATGAGCGCTTGACGGCCCTGATTCCACCAGTTGTACCTGGCATTCGTAGAGTTTCTTGCGTCCTTTCTTGGCTCCGGCCCCGTTCTGACAGGCTGCCATATGGCACTTTAGGGTGCTGTTCCTTGCAAATCGCTCATGGCAGTCTGAACACTCGTAAGGTTTTTCACCTACGGAAAAGACATATAAAAGAGAAGAAATTGAAGGCATTATTATGACCAACGGAAAAACTACACCGAACGCCAGCAGCTTCATTCCTCCTTCTCACCAGTGTGCTTCCGCAAGTGCTCCTTAAAGTGGCCGAAGTGGTCAAAGTGCTTCTTGCAGTATTCACACACGTGCACTCTCTTCTGGGGCTTCTGGTTCAGAGACAGCTCCTCTGCCTCAAAATGGAACGTGGTGACGTGCTGCTTCAAGGCGCCCTCCCGCGTGTAGGCTTTCCCGCAGTAGTTGCACACGTGGGGTTTTTCCAGCGAGCCCAGGTGTGTTTTCAAGTGCTGTTTGAGGTGGTAGTAAAGCTTGAAGCTGCGATCGCACCTGTTGCAGCGGAACATGTTGTCCACTTGGGAAATCTGGACCTCCACAACCTCGACATTCTCCAGCACCTTGGAGGCAGTGACCGTTTCCTCCTGATACACCACCTCCTGACAAGCGCAAACACATGGCAAGGCAGGGTTAAGACATGTAGCACACTTACTGTATTCACACCGTTTGGACATTAATAAACACATGACGAGGCTCTGTGACAACGCCAAAGTCAGTTTACCTCTTCTATTGCTTCCTTCTTCATGACATGCAGCGCGGGTTCCTCTTGCTGATACTTGCTGGTTATGTCAGCTAAAAGAGCCAAAGCAGAGTCATCGGACGCCGCCTGAGCATTCTTTGCCGCGTCGACCACCTCCTCCAGTCCGGCCTCCTCCACCTCGATGGCCCCTTCCCCTAACACCTCAATCTCCATCTAGAGCACAGGGAAAACATGCAGTCCTGACAATGAAATGTTTGCACTTCATAAATAAGGTGGCTGTTACAACCAACCAACGTATTGCTATTGGATGCAATATTAATATCCACTGCTTTGCAAGGAACTCATGGCGTGACCGCCATGAAAGTACTGACCTGTTCCCCTTCTGCCGAAGGAAGGGTTTCTGTAATCACATTCGAAGTCTCCGCAATCTTCCTCTTTTTACCTTTGCTCTTTGCAGTCAGCGAGGTATTGTCATTTATTCTAAAGAGAAGACAAGCCGTTGGTGAGCGGTAACAATGTTCGCTCCCGGAAGTGCTGACACGGTGGGCTTTCTAGCTCATAAAAAAGCTTCACCGGTGGATTTGCAAATGATATCACCTTTACTTTGATGGTCAGCAATAGGTGACAAGTGGATCAAGACTCACTTAACGTTGAGCGCTTTGATGGCCTCGTGCATCTGGAGGTATTCAGCGGCCTTCCAGACATCGTTGGCCTCTTCTTCTCCGACTATAACTAGTGTCGCTGTGTACGTGAACTCCATCAGCTGGCTGAAGGCCGTGTTACTCACTCCTGAGTGTGACAGAGCAGCATTGGTGAGTGACAGCTGTTCGACGTGAAAGAATAACGTATACCCGCGGCTCCAAAGTTTTTGATGGAGAAGCTCGGAACAAAACCTTAATAACCACAATAACAAAATCTTTATTGCCTTCTTACTTTCCTTTATCAAAATTCGAATTAAAGCACAAAATACCTTCAATCTCCACCAGAGGCTCCTGGGTGAAATCTTGAAAGAACGTATGGAAGAACTGACTGCATGCTGCCAACACTGCTTTATGGGCTCTGAACTGGTGTCCTGCAAGAGGGACGAGAGACGTAACAAGCGTTGATTAGGGATTTCGCAGAGACGTGAATTAAGATGACGTGTATTAAGAGCCAACTCACCATCCACAATCAAGGTGATGTCTGTGAACTGGTCCAGCTGTCGTTGTTCGTTGAGTTTGTCCATCATGACTTTGTAATGCGCCGGGTACTCATTGCCTCGCTCCAGCTCCGCCTCCGCCTCAGCCGCCATCGCGGACCTTATCCCTCTCTGGAGGGACGGGGAAGATGGACAAACAAGAGTTGAGATTCTTCAAGAAACGCAACACAGCTGTTAACTGAATCAACCGAACACACACACACACACGCGCAGACACAGACACAGACATGCACGAAGGCCTCACAATGTCTCTTTGGCAAAACTCCTTAAAAAACGTGTATTCTTTGTTTTGATGCATTGTTAGAGACAATTAAAGTGTAGAGTAGTATACACAACTTACTCACAACAGCCAAAAATAACTTCTTCTTAAAACACATGTTCACACCTGCCGTCCTTTGGTGGTGATAAATAAAAGTTGCATCTGCATCACCCTTACAGTCACACTCTCCGTCATCAGTAATCCATGTATGTAAAAGTTTGCGTGACAGATGCATCCGCTGGCAGCGGCGATATCAGCACAGACTGGGGTTTGTGACCTCAATGGGTGCAACCTGACACAGGATTTAGGTTTGTTATCTCCCCAGAAAACAGCAAACCAGAGTTCAAATGTTTTCACACTCAGCTACATTTACCAAACTCACATGCTCATTCAAGGGATTATGGAACTGCTTTAAGACTCAAATCATGTGCCTCTGCATGTTAGTACCCGACATAGAATATATACATAACGTTATATAATAATTTATTATAATAATCACATAATAAGAACATGGGTCATCAATCGGAACAACTTTGTGAATGCCATCAGTAAAACATGTCATGAAGAGAACACAGGAATATTTGAGTAAATGTCAAGTGAATGCATTTTATTCTATTTTTATGAATCCCTGAATTTGCTGTTTCGGAGCTCAACTGCACTTAATGCGAAAGACCACAGACTAATTAAACTGCTCTGGTTCTGCAGGAAGTGAATTGATCGGAGGTATAAGTTGCTCTTTTCAAACATTCCAAAATTAAAAGTTTACATAAAAAAAGAAAAAACCCTCCCCGTTTGTTAGTAACAGCGGACCCTGTCGTGGCACACGAGCAGTCCAGCATGACACGTTAATTCAACGAGTGACCCCACACGGCACCGTTAACGCCTCTGCTAGCTTTAGTTCATCTCGGTGTTAGCTTAACTAGCACAACATAAGATCCTGCCTCCGAAAGAACTGCAATACAAGTCATTTCACATTCCCTAGAGATAAATAAAACCAAAGCCGAACTCACCGAGACTAAACAAACCAATGTAATAGTTTGGATTCTGGAACATGAAGGAAATAAACATGCTACAACCCCACAGTGTAGAAGGTAACGGGCCTCCTAGCACGCTCGCCATTTCGCGTTTGACAAGCAACATTACGTCATCAAACCGCGCATTAAAATACACTTTTCCGAGACAGATTTCGTAATTATAACCGCCATGGGTCAAAATACGGCTCAGAATCCATCGGCATTCATACCTCAAGTTTGGTCAATCTGCTTCAGAAAGTTGCTTTGCGATATTATTTCCTCCGACGCATGTAGCACTCTTCTTCTTTCGTTGCTCCAAAAAGGGCGGTCGTTCTGCCTGCAGGCCTCGGATTCCCAGAAGCCCTTGCGACGTCAAGGACGCTGAGGAGCGTTGCTTAGTGACAGCTGTGACTGAAAACTGTTTACATCTGTGGTTCTGTTTTCATTTTTAATTTACATTACAATAAAACCTATTCTTGATAGGTTGATAGTAACCTAACAAAATTACCATGTATAGTCAGCAACAACCACACCATCATTTACCGGTAGTAAGTTATATTAACTTTGAGTAATGCAGTTTACAGATTTACATTGAACCACAGTTTATTTTTACCTGTCACCGTGGGTAGTAAAGAGAAAACAGACTATTAAAATTCAACCCACAAGAAAAGGCCATGCTTTTAAATATAACCAAAGAGGACCGTCTTTTAGCAAAATATAGTACGTGCGTTTTTATTCAGCAGCAGAATGCGCTAGACCAGGTCAGGTGATGTAACACTGCAGCTTTTGCTAGCCATGCACTTGGGAGTGCACTTGAGTGCATGGGAAAGTTGGTCCAAACTTTGGACTGGTACTGAAATGTGACACAAACATGTCTTAGTATTATCCCTTATCTGTGGCGATAAGATAAAGCATATAGCTGATTTGAACAAAATATTTTGCATAAAAGTATAAACTGTATATGAAAATGAGAAATAAAGTCATAGTTAAGTGAATGGAATGTTGAAAAACAGAGGAATCGGGGAAAAAAAGCTTATGTTGCAATAAACGTCTGAGAACGCACATGAACTTCAATTTTCTAAATTACAGAGAAGTGAAATTACAATTCAGAGGCAAAGTGCAAAGTATATTTGATAAGGTTTGATGCTGATAAAGGTGTACACGGTTATGATCTGTTTTACTGTTAGTTATTACAGTTTATTGGGGATTATTATAATCAATTCAAATTTCTTGGAATGTCCTGATGTTTATTCTTCTTTGAAAGTCAATGAGCGCCGATAAAAGGCACATGTCACCGTGCCAGGCATTGTAAATGAGTAACATGGTGATGCAGAAAGCTACGCTTGGCAGGTCAAATGTTCTGCTCCGTCAGCTGATGCTCCACCACACACATCCTGTCTTGCTGCACTGATCAGGAGGTGATTATTGACGCTGATATTCATATTTACTCTAAACACTGGTGCATGTTTTCTGCTGCACCACAACCACCATGTTTCCTTTTCCACCCAGTTGGTACATGGAGTCCGTGGAGCAGCAATTCAACTGCAACATTTGTCTTATCTCAAACGTTTGAACCCAATGACCCTGCAAAACACATCATTAAAATCACCATGGAGAAAAAACAAACCCTTCCCAAACATAGTTACATCAAGAAGCTGCAAATATAGAACGAACAGCTCTGCATTGTTACTTTTATTATGTCCTTTGTGTGTTCGGCTCACCATAGTTTAATATGTGTTCACGCGCATTTCATTATTTGCTTAACGACACCGGCGCTAACATAATCTTGTCATTGTTCTTTCACTGCCCTCAAATTGCTCAGCCTATCTGTTCTGCAGGCAGACAATCTCCCCCGCCTGGTCGGACTTTGAGGCTTTGTAACGCATCAGCTGCACCCTCACCCGAGTCAGGAAAACAGGTAGAACCTGTGAACAATTTAAACGTGTCTCCACAATTAATAGAAACTTGCCTGAAGGAAGATTGTACGTTATGGTTTTGGCTTTTGGTTTTAACCTGAATGCTTAGTGAGTTAAATTGCTCTGTTCTAATAAATGATGCTTCTTGTTTTTGTTTGCCCGTAACTTAGTACGATAGTCTTACTTCATCTCCTATGTTCAGTTCTATACAAATCCCTGTTCATATTTTGCTATTTTGGATATTAAACTATAGAATACTGTGGGACATGTCGCTGCATATTTTCTTGCTGTGTTTGTGTGGACCCTGCAGAAGCGTGCTGGAACCGGACCAGAGTCCCACCCCGTGTCCACTTTCTCTTCCCCTCGCTTGCTGAAAGGGAAAAACACAATTGCACAGTATTCTTCCATGTTTTGGGGAACTCATAACGCACTTCTTTCATAATCTGAACTTGATTTAAAAGGCAAAGGCAATGCACTCTCCGGACATACTGTATCTTGACCGGTCATAATAAAGAGGCAATTGTTTCTCCTCCGCCTGAAAGAATTTGTCAAAATGGCAGTTGGTACAAAACATATTATATTCATTCATATATATCAGCAACTGCATTTCACACAAGCGTCACAAGACTTCCTTTTTTAACTCGAGAAAAGTGTAGGCATCAGCATAAAGCTCAGGCTGAACTTTGTCCTACCTCCAGAACGAAAAACAACAGGCAGAGTATAAAAGGGGGGAGCAGGAGAGGAGGAGACTTGTTTTGTTCAAGGAGCTGCAACAACACAGAGCTGAGTAGAGAGACGAAAACTTTTCAACCAAAAGGGTAAGTGAGAGAATTCTTTGCATATCACCGGGTTCCATGAAATGCAACAAAACCCAGAAAGCGACAGAAGCTTTCTCGTAATGTTAAGACTTAAATACTGTTTGATCAGAAAAAAAGTGATTTGTGATCCTCAAACTAAATGTGCTTTGCCTTCTCTACTTGCTGCACAGTCTTGTATATTCGCCACACTCTCCGTTAAAGAAGGATTTGTGGGAATGTTAAAGTTCTAACCCCACTCTGACCTTTTGTACAATCCTATCTCTTCTGTCCTCCCCTCCCTTTGTCTCCCCACTAACCTCTCCCTCTCTCTCTCTCTCTCTCTGTGCGCTCGACAGATTTGGGCAGTGAGGAGGCGGCGTCCCAGGGATGTGGGCGTACCTCAGCCTGCTCGTCGCTCTCTGCCTGCTCCGAGGGGGCGGTGCGGAGAGCGTTGGGGGTGGGCCTCATTGTCAGCTGCCTTCGCCATGGAGGATAGGGGAGGTGGAGCCTATGCAGGGGACGATGGGCCGGGTGACGGTGGTGGCCCTCTTGCAGGCCAGCTGATTGTTCTGCTTGGTGCAGGCCTCCAGGTGTGTGCAAACATGACTCAATTGTGTCCTTCTTGTGCAACAAAGTTCCCCTTGAAAAGCGTTACAGATTGTTTGTGAAGCAAACTTACCGGGCAAGCTTTTTGTAAAGATTCGTAATCACTTTTTTTACCCTTATTTGAGCAGAATGGACGGCCTGCGCCAGAAGCTGGAGAGTCAGGGTCTGAAGGACGTGGCCTACATGGTCGTTAACCAGCAGGGGGAGCAGGCACGGCGCCTGCACCCCATGCTGGCACAGAGGCTGTCGGTGAACATCGACCTCTACAAACAGGACGAGCAGCAACCTGATGTCTGGAAGACGCTGGGCGGAGACAAGGACGACTTTCTGGTTTACGACAGGTCGGTTCGCCAGCCGCGGATCAAAAGCAGGGGGCGACTGATTTCGTTTTCTTTTCCGTTCCTCACCGTGTTTTCACATCCCTCTGCCGTCAGGTGTGGCCGTCTCACGCACCACATCGCTCTCCCCTACTCCATCATCGGTCAGGGCCACGTTGAGAGCGCCATCAAAGATGCCTACTGCAAGCGCACATGTGGGGATTGTGTGCACGAGGTACAAACCGCTCATCTCAGCAAAAATACACGTTCACTCAAACGGTATCATAAGACAATAATAAAAGTAATCTCGTTTATGTTTGTTTTCTCAAACAAACAGAGTGCCACGACACCTGAGGAGTGTGTAGAGAAAGCGGTTGCACAGCCTGACGCCGACGCTCCCCCAGTCGTAGAGGACAATGGTGGGGGAGGTGGACATCATGGACATCACCACCACGGCCACGGCCACCACCGTGGTCATCACCACGGTCATCACCATGGTCATCACCATGGGGGCGACCATGGCGCCGGCCAGCAAGCTGTAGTACACCAAGAGCATGAGCGAGATGGTGGCGCATCTCACGGGCAACATAATTCCGCCTTAGACCAGATGCAGCAACAAGCGCACATTCCCCAGATGCCGCACGGGGCCCAAGCGGCCCCGGTCAGGCCCTGAGTGGAAGAGAACGCCAAATGAAAGTCAAAGCACAGCTGAAAGCTGACGGCGGGCTCCGACAACGAAGCCTCCCTCAAGCTCAGCTGATGCTGCCACTGACGCAGGCTGTTCGGCGAGGTGGGGAGCGAGCAGCCGCTGGGTCTGTGACACTGTGACGAGGCGCTGCCCGCCTCCTGACAGTGACACGGGCTGACGGACGGCGTGGCCAACAACGTCAGGGAGACCTGACAGTGTCGCTCGCCCCCGGCCGCCTGACAGCAGCCCGAGCCGGCCCCGTGAGCCTGAGCCGCCGGTGTGAGCTGAGGATGAGAGCAGCTGTAGGCTGATTTTCAGCCTCAGACTGCGAACACCCAGAAACACCGGGGCCCGAGCGCACTCTTATACCAACAAGTGTTACCCTGGGAGAGGGCAGGGCAAACCCGTGCCCCATGCGGGTGGGACAGATGAACACAGGTCCAAAAATCAAACTGATAAAGATTAAACAATGCCAACAATGTGCTGGCTTGCATGAGTAATTTGGTGACAGGTATACAAATCATGACATTGTTTCTGAAAGAATATATGCTGTGTTTCACCTGTTCTCCATGCGTGGGTCTGCGGGACGCCCCGGTCCCGTCTCGGGGGGGGCGGGCTCTTGTGGTTGTCGTGTTCACAAACGGGCCCCTTCCGTTTGTCTCTCTCCATCCTTTATGAAGCCAGGCGCAGAAACTACGCTCTAGTGGCGTCTGTTGGAGGTCAGGAAGGAGGGAGAGGAGAGGGCAGTTCATGAGCACGACAAACACGTTAAACATTTCGGAGGAAAGGAAGAGGACATTATTTGAGGAAAAGTGTAAAAGTGTAGAATCTGCAAAAAAAAAAATCAAACTACAACCGAACGAAAGAAGGTTGCAGTGAATGGCACATTTATTTGTTAGCGAAATCTGAAAAGCACCTTTTTTATTTTCTGGGATCACAGTCCTGACACTCCTGATACTTTTTTTTTTCTTTGCAGTGCATTGTTCATGAGCACATATAACCACCACAAAAAAACATAGAGCAAGCATGTTTGGATTTAAAATGCTGAGTGCAAGAAAAACAAATGAAAAGACTCTATTGTAATGAGAAAGGCAGCGGGAAACTGAGCGTGAAGCTTCAACTGTTGGAATACACCCTCTGTACTCAATGATGGTTTCAGTGGAAAGATTAAACGTCACCCTGAAAACCTGATGCTTGTACAGGAAACTGTATTGTGTAACGAATGTCAAATATGGAACTGAGAGTTGAATAAAGATGGTTGAGTTACTTTTTGAGTTGGTGAGTGTGTTTTCTTGTTAAAGGGTGAGACAACAGGCAAAAATACTATAATAATCATTGTGAGATTTTCCTCAGAAAATAACCGAAAAATTAACATTGATGTCAATTACTACTCTATCTTTGTCTGTGGAATTATATTAAATTCACTAAAAGAGATAGATAATGACCGCTGGATGCCGTTGTTGAACGTCAGACACAAACCAGATTTTAAGTTTTAAAATGACCTACAAGACATGAAAACATATCTCTAAAAAACTAAAGACTAAAACCTACCAGCCCTCATGTCTCTTGGACATGAACTCCCACAATCTCCTCCTATTTCCAGTGGATCCGAGGCCTGAACGCTTTTCAGTCTTCAATCTATTCTACACATTTCCTGCAACCTTTAACCCTTTCAAAGCAATTAATACGTATTTTCTACTGATAAAAACGTTGAATTCCAAACAGACTATCAAACACACATTTCCAGATGCTTTCAGGCCTCAGATCTCCAAACAGCTTTCTTTGCAGGTCAACTTGTGTCGAGTTCAAATGCAAAGATCTGCGGTAACGATACGCTGTGTCCCCCGTTTGTTTCTATTCTAACTTTTTTCATGTAGTTTATCAATTTGCAATGCCTCAGAACTGCCACAACCTTAATAGAGAGTATGTTGTATATTGTGGTTGCAATATGTATACTTTTGTTCACAATATATTCATCTTTTTTTCATACACAGGATGAGTAAAGTCTTTCAGGACTTACCCCTGAGCATGAACAAATGTGGTCAAAGAAGCTCCTATAGTTTGAAGTTTAGTCAACCTGCTGCCCTTTGTGAGTTATTTGTCGAGACTCCTGTTTATGGATATTTATAATTTGTTTGTTATAAAAAAAATGTATTAAATGGTTTTGTTTATGTTCAGAGGTGGGTTTTTATTAAAATGTAAGTTCTCTTTTTTAACATAAATCAAACCTCATTTTCTTTTCATTTCTTTATCTCTATTGTAATTACTTTAAACAGAACAGAAGATGACTGTTTTTAAGTATACTGACTTTCAGATGTGCCGTGTGAGAGGAGTTGTTGGGTCTGGAGGGGGGGCTTGGCAATATCTGTCGACTGTCCTGCACGTGTCTGAGAAGTGGACGCATGTGACTTGGAAAAAGCAGAGGGATCATGTTACTTCCTTACTTGTAGATTCCTAAGATCCACAAAAGTTTCCAGCGTGCGGTTCAAGACCAATAAACCCATTTTAAGTCTGTCCGTCCCAATGCTTTAAGGTAGATTAAACGGGTTTCACTAAAGATATAGCTGATATTTGTATAAATGGTGCTATTCAACTTTTCCGCTATGTTTCAGCAGATGGCGATGAAGGTCTGCACTATAAATCCTCCACCACACTAACAGCTGTTTATTGAAGCACTTCTCCTCTTTCTGGCCTCAAACCGGCTCACCACCCTCTTTTTCTTTCACGCTGATGAACTACTGCAGCATTTTTAAGGATCATCCAAGTTAGTCATCTCCATCTTGTTTCCTCTTTGCAAACAAACACACATTGCAATCTTAGGTCCACTGCTCCAAACTATGCAGATTCTTTTCATATGTCACATGTCGGTAGGTGATGAAAGTGAGCTCTCATCATTTCAGAAAATGCTTACAATTAAGGTAAACAAAAAAAACACTTGACCTGTTTAGTCAGATCTTTTACACACTGTATTTTGGTTCACCAACTATTCAGCTTGTTTGCGACATATATGATGAAACCTATAATTTCTTGTATTGATAAAGCGCTCAAGGTCTGCAGGTTTTTATTTAATCCGCAGTAAAATATTTGGATTAACAATAATCTACAGTGCGTTTGTGATTGTTTACGTGCAGTGCTCTTGAACACAGGTTTTGCTCATTTTTATACAATTGCATCAACTTAAAGGGTCAAATCTACAAACCTGTCTTCGACACTCTCTCCTCAGTGTAATTAATCTAATCGTGTGTGTTACTGTGTGTCGGAGAAGGTCAACAGCCAACCAGAGGTAATGAATGAGGCCTGGGTGGACCGCCTGTGTGGGCGTAATTGGGCTGAAGATCCAATACAGGGAAACAGTGACTTATGGGTAATTACCTGCAATGTCCTGAGACGAGGAGCTGTGATTGGCTGTCTCTCTGATTCAATCAGCCCCACACAGAGCAGCGCAACACAGAGCCTCTGACTTAATTGTCCGATATGCTTTCCCCCCGATGTGCGACTGCTTCTGCAGCCGCTTCCTCCGCCAGCAAGCAGGGAGAGTCACACACTCGTTCGCACACACACACACACACACACACACACACACACACACACACACACACACAAAGCGCTCTTGTGTTGCTCACAAACAAGTATGCATTCTCCACCCTGCAACTGCCACAGATGCACTCCTTTTTGTCACACACACAACTCTTTTTGCATTCAAGATTTCAGGGCTCAGTGGGCTGTACGTTTCCGTCTGTGCAGATATGAATTTTACTTTGCTGAATGCTGCTTGTGTCCTTTCAACGCCACAGTTGGCAGTTGGATGAGGAGATCCTTTGTTCTACGAGTTACATTTCAAATAAAAAAACAATCACTACAGAATTCTGTTCTAAATCAGTGTAAGTAGTCTGGATAACCAACATAATTGGTCTCATTTACTCTTATTTTGCCACAATAACATTACATAATTGGTTTGGTTACTGGGTCCAATTTCTAGGTCTATTAAAACTGCATAGGCAAGATTGGGTGCTTTCAACTAAGGTCTTCCACCATCAAAATACATACATGTACATAAATACAGGATGAAATTCACTTTTGTTGTTTTTACAAACACAAAACAACAAAACAAAGTCATGAACGCGTGCTGAGAGAATAACGCACCTGTGAGGCATGAATACAAGTGGACTAAGCCGGTAACACAACGGGTGTCAAAGAAATACCATGCACACGATGATCAAGATGCTGTATATATGTTTATTGTGTAACTTGTTGAAAGCTCATCAATCACACATACAACACCAGAGAGGCTCAACGGGAAACAACAGAAAAATACAAATCATCAAAGATCAACACATTTCTCGGGCCTCGAGTTTAACTGCAGCCAAAAGACAGCGACAGTGGCTCCAAGATGCACAGGTTCTGAGAATATGGGGAAAAGAATGAAGCCGATGCGAACTAACACACACACACACACACAAACCGCAATGCAGCCGTTTCCAAACTCTGACAAGGAGAATATTTGCTTTACAAGCTTGGACGCCACACGTTGGAGAATAACAGCGCACACGATACTCAAGCTGCCCCACTCGCTGTGGTCAGCTGAGTGGGCGGATGATCTGAGGACTGTAAGCACGCCAATAAATAGCACACGGGTAGAAAACAGAGAGGGGAGCCACTGAACATTGTCATAAAAAAGCCAGCAGCTGCACTCAAGTCATGAATTAAAACATTTTGCCGGCAACCCAAAAAATGTCAGACGGGGAACTCAAGAATGAAGAGTTTCAACCAGTACAAATTCAAGCTCTCAAGATGACTTCCAGGCTTTCACAGAGTGACTAAAGCCAGCCTGCAACCAATGCAAAGAACAAAAAAAAACGAAGAGGCCCAAATAAAACACTGTAGCCCCTTCAATCGCAGTCAGATAATAAAAAATGCTGAAATCACAAAGTCAGACAACTGCAAGGTGTTATTTTACAGTGTAACTATTTCACTCTGACGTCATGAAAGTCTACCTGCTCCTGGTATCCAGAAATCTTACAGCAAACATTAAATACTCCATTGATGAACATAATTCAGGCAATCTGGTAGCATAAAATATGTCCCATTAACTCTTATTAACTCGGACACAAAGCTTATTGAAGTTTCCACATTGTCTGATTATTGTGCAGAATAAAAACAACGACACGATAATGTAAAGTTTTGGACTTGATTCAGTCCAAAACCCCAAATCAGAATACTAATTCATATATCAATATATGTGTTTGCGTACAAAGTGCTTGCTCTAAAGTGTCTGTAACATTTATAAGCTAGAAATACTCGCAAACTTTTACACTAGGTTGATAAAGAGCCCGTTTTGTACTGGCAAACACAATGTAGTACACACTTGTACAGTAAGCCTTAAAATAAAAGCCATACACCTCCTGATTTATATCCTGCGCTGTTTGTTAGTTTTTAAAAATATACATCTTTCAGTGATGTAACTTTCTCTTGTTCTTGCCAATTTCCCCTCAACGTTGTGATTGCATATTCCAGTTCCGAAACATTCACAATTACAATGGAACAAATACCTGAACCAAATCGTGCTTTCCCACTTCCCCCAGGCGGCAGACCGCCCTCAGATACCAGCATCATCCAATTATGTTTTTATCACCAGGCGACACAGTGATACATGTACCGAGCAGCAATATATTTGGATTAGTAACAGTAATAACGTAATAAAAATATACATACAGATATATATAGTTAGAATTTTTTGTGTGTGAATATATTAAGACATTTCTGCAACAGCATTGGCTGGCTGGCATCCTCGACTCAAGGCTGCAACGACAGAACACAGACTGAGGGTAGAGAAATGGCCCATATCTCTTAACGTTCACAGTTTACTATTTTCTAAAGTCGTTTGGTGGCTCTTGCCTTGTCTCTCTTCATTATGGGATTGTCCATTACAAAAGACCTATTCTATCCGCTTAGCCTACTTATCTCAAGGATGAATCCAGGGCAACGTGACGCATTTCCGTTGGCGTGCTGAAATATGTTGTGTTGGGACGAGTTCATTCTACGGCTGCCTTGACGTTATTCAATAACAATCCTTTTAAATCGTTTGTGTACTTGCCGTAATGGGGATTCAATGTTTTTCCTCCATCATAAAGACATTGGGTAACCTCTACGAGCCAAAGCTTCCATAGCTTTTGTGTACATTACGCTGCGCTGCTGCGTTGGCTGCGGCCTGTTGTCAAAGCCTCTATGGTGAGAAGGAAAATGTATATGAGGAGAACCTTGACAGATGGTGTTGACTGTTGTCAATTATCGTAGAGCGCCGTACATTACAATCTATCTCAATCTATCTATCTACCGTACATTACAATCTATCTCAATCTATCCATCTACCGTACATTACAATCTATTGCGACTAAATATTGACTAAGCAACAGATTCTTTTTCCCCAGTTTTTGATTTCTCTAATAAAAGTATGTGAGGTAAAGTAATCAATACATAACTGTGCACGTATACCATGTCTTCTAGCAAAGAAATACTCTATTAATCCAGAACGTGGAACTCAAAGTCTGTCATCACCAGCCCTGATCAACATTTTTGGTTATTGAAATTGTGCTCAGTTTTACGAGAGCGATCTGACACCAAAACGGTTACAAAAGGAAACTATTAGCTTTGACAAAACACAGCCGTGATCTTGTCATGAAGGCTAAATTAAATAACAATTACGGTAAACTTGTAGTGCGTGTGTGTGTATGCTGTGCTAGTGTATGTGTAGGTTTTTTAGTTTAGTCGAGGCTTTACACCTATTCATCTACACATAGTACAATAAGGCATAAATCCTAATCACATAATCATGCCATGGCACACAGATGGCAAAGCGAATAACACTATCAATAGGCACAGGTTGTTACGCCGTGTACTCGGCAGATAATACGTATAAAATGTTAGCTTACTGCAGCTCTTACCTACTTTCACAGTCGTTCTACTTGTTCCAGTTGCCGTCTGCAATAGCAGTGCAACGCGAGAAGAATACGGCTCCCCGGGAGAGAGCTCGCTCATTGAGGTTCCAGTCGAGCCACTGCGGGTGGCTGCTGGTTATACAGGTTGCTGCTATCACAGGATGAAATGCAACAGGTGTGTCTGTTTGTCTTCCCTTCTACTAAACAGCTACATCAATGTGCCCTTAAGCAAGGCACTTGTTCGGGGTACCGCAGCGCTGTTTGAGCCGAGCGGCTACCGGCTGCGAATGAATCTGACGAGGTTCCTCTAAATACGGACGAGTCAGTGCTTGTGGGTGGATGAAGTAGAATGAGTAGCTCAATGCTGGGCCATTTTAATCATTCCATAATATTTAACGCATTACATGAATACGTTTATTTTGAAATTCCCTTTTATTCGTCAGTGATTTCCTTCATTTAATATATAATATTGATGATATAGCTGTATACTAATCACTGAGTGTGTGTCTGCATTTATACTGAATGTTACTTTTTCAGTTGTTGAAAGTAGTTATTCTTTTAAACACTATTGTGGCGGTAGAAAAATAGAGAAAAATATCTTGACATCATATAATCTAAATTTGGCCAAGCATGGCCAGCATTAAACAAAATGGAGCCAGGAATGAACGGTAAAACTCCATAGTAGTGTTTTTTTTATACTGTATTTTAGGACAGATGTCTATTTTTTACTAATTACTGATTAGGACACAACGAGATAAAGAGAAAAACTAAGCCACAATTGAGCGACGAAGCATCTCTACCAGCAAGAGGCATCAACAGCGGCTTCTTCTCAGAGCGCTGCGGAAAAAAAAGGCGGCCAGAATGTGCTTGTCTCCTCTCGCTACACACCCTGACATCTGTCTGTGAGATTAAGACTTCAACAATGCCATTGCTCTTAACGATATTAGCTAATGCGATCCACTTCAGCAGCGAGCTAATGCTTTTTGACGTGTTACGATCACAGTATCGGCCTTTTACCTGCGCACGCGCGTCAGGCGAATCGAGCAAAGTGTGTAATTTGGTTTGCGGTGGTTCAGTTCAATGGACCAAACTGATCGATGGTGTTTTTTCTCGTCTAAAAAAAACAACAAAAAAACAAACACCTGCGCTCAATCATCCGCAAGGTGGGCTACGAGTTATTTGGTTTGCAGCGGGAATCAGTGAGAAACAGGCTCTCGCGACTGCGTGGGACGTCCTGGTCGATCATTCTTACACCTAAAAGGCCCGATGGCGTCGGCATCTTCACGGGGAGAGGCTCCCCAGCAGGTCTGGGGTGATGTACCCCACAGGCATGCTGGGGAGGGCTTTGAGCGGGTGCTGTGGCCGGCAGGCAGGGGGAGACTGGCGGGGAGGCGGGTTGAGGAGCAGACTGTGCTGACTGTTCAACTCCTGTACCACCGTGTAGTCCGCAACTCGTGCAAAGACCTGGGATTGGGGAGAGTCCGGAAGAATGTAAGGGGATTGGCCGTCCTCTGCCGTGGCTGCAGGTTCAGTCTCCGCTGGCTGAGGGAGTATGGTTTGATAACCCTCGCCAGGGATAGGGGAGCTGGGCGGGGCAAACATCTGCGGGGTGTTGCTCTCTGCAGCCTGCCTGCCTCCTTCGGGATCCACTACGAGCAGCTGGAACTGCTCCTCCTTCTCCTTTTCTTCCTCGCTGTCCTCGCTGCCTTTGTGCTCTTTTCCCTGTTGCGGTTCCTCCTCTGTGCCAGAGGTGCTCTCCTGGATTCTAAGTTGCTGGCCAGGAGACAGCACCACCCCGCCGGTGGGCATCACGTTGCTGACTTGGGCGTAGAAGTCAGTGTTGAACCAAGTCTGGGGCCCTGCGGTTTGGGTACGGATGAGGAGCCTCTCTGGAGCCGGGGATGTTTTCACCTCTCCGTCCTCGGGTTGGCCCGGCAGCAAGGTGGCCATCAGCGTGTCCTGGTCCGGCACATCTGGGTCATAACAGCTCGCCCGGCCCGAGTCACTGTCAGGGAAGCTGCGAGGGAGCGGAAAAGAACATTTCACATATGCACAGCATTTAGCGGCGGGCAAGTGTTTTCCGTGCGTGACATCTGCACAGTATACCTCACGGCATTGGAGAAGCCGATGTTCATGTGGTGGCTAATGGGTTGGGGAACGTCCAGGAGCCTTTGGGTGTCTGAGCCCTGGTTGTCCTCCTTCTCCCCAGTGCCTGCATCCTCAGCGTCCACCTCGATGAACTCCACCCACAGCTCATCTTGGTAGAAATCTGTTGCGTAAGTCGGTGGGCCGCCCAGACCTCCACCGGTGGAGCTGAAATTCAGATCGTCCAGCTTCCCTTTCTGCATGTGGCAATCAGGACCAATGAATTCATTAATTTCTAATTGTGACATTGAATACTGCTTGCACAATTGGAAAACAAGGTAACATTGTTTGGATTGCTTTTTCATTCTTCCCATTCACATTGACATTTGAATATTGCCCAGTGTTCTGAAGGTCAAGTCTTTGGAAATGAAATGCCAAATGCGGTTTTAATTTTAATTTGCAAATGCTTAATAAATGCTGCTTATATTCTGCTCGCACAAATATATAATACGGTTACATTGTTTGTATTGCATTTGAATATGGTCCGCTGTTCAGACGACCATGGCGAGAAAATTAAATGTCAAACTGTTCTGCTATTTACATTTGAAAACACCTGAGACAACAAGGGAAAATGTAGACGCAATTAGCTTTTTTAGTTAAATTAGCACTTAAATAATGCATACATGTGCATTATAATGTCCGTAGGCCAGCCATAGGACTTAGCTTTGCACTGGTTCCAGGAAAAACACCTATGGGATTTTAACATTGTATTTGGGATTTTTGCAAAAAAGAAAACCTGTGATGATCAAATGTTCATGATACTTTAAGACAATATGCACAAATGACCGACCACTCTATGATCACCTGAGTAAAGAGCTTACATCAGAATATAATAGAAGTTCAAGTCTGCATGAGCCAAATAAACAATGAGCCTGTGAAGGCGGACGAGTCGCCATTATGTTGTTTTGTCTCACTTGGTCCCTGTCTATTTTAAGACAGGTACAAGCTTTGTTTTGCAGGCTTGTCATGTGCTAAAATACATTGTGAATAAGCAGGTCATAACTATAACTGTATTTTTTTAATCTCCAGTATAATAGATTGTTAACTCAGGTGGGCCGGTTAGAGGCACGACGCCCCCCCTGACCCCCCTTCCGGGCCAAAGATGAATCCCACTTCGGCGCTGGCGCATTGTGTTTCACATTTAAGCATGAAATAGCAGCCTCGTTGTTGTATTTATTCCTACAAGTACTCTTCCCCCCGGTGTCCAGGGGAGAGGGACTTTTGTAAACAGCACACTGGCAGCCTGGTAAATGCGTCCCGCATCCTCTGTCGATAACACACCCACAACACAATGCTGGACTAAAAGCCTCTTCACTACGTTACCCCGTGTGCTCTTGTCCTCATTTACTTACACGCAAACCAGAGCACCTGTGTGCTTTCAAATTGTTTATGCCTCTATTTGATGAAAAAGATGAAAAACAGGACGGGAAAGGGATAATAAGTGGTGTGATGATTAGGAGGCCGAATAGGCCTCGGCCGACTGAAGCCTAGCTTTGTCTGTTCATCTTCATCAAAACTGTAATACAGTTAATACTACACTTAATATAACTACTTTATTGAATTAAAAAAATACCATTTATTGGCTGCATGGAATTCTTTGACATATTTTTGCAACGTTGTATTTTAGTCTGACTCTCAGAGCAATTCAATTAATTGACGTGAAAATACAATACATAACATGAATGCATACATTTTCCAGCTGAAACTTGTCAGGGCCTCTCCGGTGGATAATGGTATGCCACTGGTATGCCAATGTGTCGGGGAGGGTTGAGCATGTGTGAGAGGAATCCCAGACGAAGCAGAATAATAACATTACATTACAGGTCATTTAGCTGACGCTTTTTCCCAAAGCGACTTACATTACATTTTTAACCCATGGCCCTCACATTTTGCCCGGGGCGCAATTAGGGGTTAGGTGTCTTGCTCAGGGACACTTCGACATGGGACATGTGACTTGGGGCAGCCGGGACTCAAACCACCAACCTTGTGGTTCCCAGCACACCCTCTCTACACCCTGCGCCACAACCGATATAACAACACAGACATAAATGTACCTTCAACAGCTCTGGATCGATGCCTTTAATTTTGGGTGCAGGAACCGGCGGCAACAGAATCATCATCAATCTGTAACGGTGGGAAGAAATATAATTGGTTCCCAGGATGTTTTTTCCCGAACATCTCTCTCCCCCCTCATAACTGTCATCGTTACGTATTAGAGGTTTGAATGTGGCATCCACACTATTGGTTTAAATGCATGAACGAGTGAGAAAGCTCCTACCTTCGCTGCTGCGAGGAAACAATCAGCATGACCAGTATGAGGACGCCCGTAATCCCGAAAACAAGAACCAGGGTGAGCGGGAAGGTAGACCCTGCAAGACAGCATGAAACACATCCCGTCATCATCATCATCATCACGATCTAGACGACAAGGCTTCTTGCTCACTCCATCTGTCTGACCCAAACCGGACACAACAACAAATTACTACTCACCTTTGCTGGAGATCACTTGAATGAAGATGGGGTCGCTGAACTCTCCAAACCTGACGAAGCTCCGCATCCTGCAGCGGATGTGCACTTCGTACTCTTTTCCTACGTGGAGACCGAAGATTGTCTGCTGGGTTTGCCTCTGCATCTCCAACTAACGTGCAAAAAGACACGAGGAACAGAGAGAGAATCAAAACACAGCTGAGGAATGTAAACATTAAAAAAAGTATGTTATGTAATCAGAAAAGGCTTCATCTTTTATTTATCAGGAAAGAAGACGTAAAGGTTTAGTTTTTAAAAAATATAACTTTGACCAAAAGTGAAATAGTTGGGTTTATTTTAGATGCATTGAACAGAGGACCTACTATCATTATGGAAGGCTTTAAAAAAGTTTCCCATGCAGCATTTGTCAGACTGGATCGCCCCACATTACTGAATACGAGCCTGTGCAAGGTCCCATGGCCTCTGACCTACAGATCCCTCCCTTCACTTCCTTTAGAGAGGCTGTGTTTTCCCAGAGGCCTTTGCTCTGGCTTCCACTGCCTCGCCAACAAAGCTACACTGCATTTTAGCCTCACAAGTTCAGGGGAGGGGGAGGGGAAAGGAAACACGACACCGCGTCTGTTTGACCGGCCTACGATTTACTCTAAAGAGAGCCCATGAGTGCTTGCATGTGTCGGCTTGTGCCTGCGCACACAGGCCTTTTTTTGAGAAGTTTTAAGTTGCGCGTTCTCATGTGTTACCACTATGTGCGTCTGAGAAAGCAACAGGGGGGAGAGGGAATCATTTGGGAGCAAGTGAAGAGAAGACTTACCGCGTCCCATTTTGTGGTATTTCCCGCCCTGTACTGGATCTCGTATTCAATGCGCATCCAGCCGGTCTTGACGTCGGCAGAGGGCGGGGCCTCCCAGTTGACCATGACATCATAGTTTAGCCCCGAGGGACTTATATTGAGCAGGGTCCAGTTTAGAGACACTGGTGGGTCAGGACGTACTGCCACAGAAAGGGTAAAGGTCAGTTTCACATTTGAATATATCATGTTAATGAAAATTGAATATCAAACGACGCTTTGAAGGCACTTAATTATGTGCAGAAGAACAAATAAACTGTAAACGTCTACGGTTTAGTGGACGTCGCCTATAGTGTCCGTATGTTAGTATCATGGGCCAAATATGAAAACATTTTGAAATTAAAATTAAAATAGGATAATAGAGGTTACATTATTTATACATTATACTCCACGGTACTTTTTGTTTAGTTAAATAAACAGGCTAAATAATAATTATAATAATAGTCTAGGTCTTTCCAGCTGTGGGGCTAAACAAGATTGGTTTGAGGGTGAAACTAGATGTGAAGCAACAAGATCCCTAATATTAAGTGTGTGTCTCAAAGAATTCATGGCAGTTGGCTTAGATTAAAATAATAAATATTCCATATTTTGGCCTGAGGCAGCAGGAGGAAAAGTCACTGTGACCGAATATTCGAAGTAGATTTAATGCAAATTTATTGAATACAAGTGAATATTTCTTGGGTACCCGAAACTAAACTTTAGGTTACGGATATTATCCCTGAGCATCAAACATCGCTACGCAGCTCCCTGCTGTGGGTTCAGCGGAGGGCAACGTCCAAATGTTAGCTATAACAACATGCAGATAATCAATGTGCGCACACCCGGAGAGATAATGAACAAACGTTTCTCCGCCTGAAGACTAATCAGCAAAGATATTACAAATATCATGTGACACCACAGTATCTCTCAGGATGTGGTACAGTCCCTGCCAAATAAAGGCCATCAGACAAAACATTCACTGTGTAAACACTGCCTATCTGATATTGACAGGCATGTGACATTTGCCGTTTTACTTGATACGCAGCCGCAAAAAGTGATCCATTATACGAGCAGGGCCATTTTCTGTCGTCCCACAGCGTACGTTTCTCGCCATTTGAATGATTCACTGAGCAAGCTTTGACAATGATCAGCGCAGCTACTTCTACATGCTGTGGAAGAAAATTGTTTTGCCAAAACGTGCTTTGCAAAATATTAGTGTGGAATTGAAGTAGAATTACCCAAATCTATTTGGACGCCTCGTAAAAATGTTTATACATGCACAAATGTTTTTACCAACCGATGTTCTCCACCCTGAAACAGTCCTCCTCGTTGTAATAGGTGACGTTGTTCTGGCCGCGAAGCTGCATGCAGTAAGGGATCCAAATGGACGTGTGGTTGTTGTCGAAGAAGCACTCCCGATTCGGATGGACGTACTTCGGACACTCTTTCCATTCGCTAGCAAGCGAACTGAGGGAGGGAAACGAGGATGGAAGAAAGGGAAGACAAGACAGTCACACTTTGCGGTAAACTCACATATGCGCACACTGATCCGAAGAAAAAAAAAAGACACTGTGGCTGCCGCACTCACTCTTACTTAATGTAGAAGAGTCTGAGCGCTCCAGGAGAGGACAGGTTGTGGAAGTTGCCCGGACTCCACCAACATTGGAATGTGGCCTGGTCTCTTGATATGCACTCGGTGATGTGAGGTTCCGGGGGAGCTAGAAGGCAGCAAGAGAAGGAAGGGTAGAGGATCAGAGGCGGGACAAACAAGTCTGCAATCAAATCACTGTTTTTTTTTAATGTATCGATGCAACAACATGTCACACTAGCAAGTGAGCTGCAACACAATCTAAATGATATTTGAATATATCTTCCAACACACAAGGCCAAAATTGTATTCCTCTCTATTAACATAATTGGATGTACACAGTCCGCATTAGCATCATTTTCAGTCATGGACGTTAAGAGTTTCCTGTACTAGTATCCAGCCGCCATGAGATGGTTGCCCTGCAGCGGGGACAACTCTCTCTGCTGGTGGGAGACGAGGCTAAATTGCAGTCTGCATCTTGTGTTACTCTAAAATGAATTTCAGCTCCCTGCAAAATCTGTGGGTAGAAAATCAACCTGTTGAAAGACGGTCATAGGCTGCACCAAAGCTCAGTCCCTGTGCCTTTAAACCCTTTTAACTCAATCCACTCCTGCACCCATTGACCATTTCTCATCTGCCCCCCGCTGACTCAGCCCCGTTCACCTCTCCCTCTGCACCCTGTCGCTTTTCATCACCGATCCCCATGCCACCTTCGGAGGCTATTGTCACATTCATCCAAGAGAGTCCCAGGGTTAGCTGCAATCATAAATAAGCCTCGTGAAGGTATCATCGATTTCGGCTCCACTCGCTCCTCTCCAGCGCTCGCTGCAGCATAAATCACACGCCGGACTCCGGAACATAAACATGCTTCACAACACAGGGACTGAGAATTAAAGACAGACTTCAGCAATGCCGTACAAATGCAGGGCGCCTTCAAGCAATGTTTTTTTGGAGTTTTTTTAAACAAGAATTATCTCCACATAGACCCACTGACTGCTGCTAAATCTTCAAGGGGTTGAATACACGCTACGTATGTGCATGCAGACGATATTTGCACAAAGACACACAACCGGCTAGCATGCATCCCAAGTTAACATCTACCACCCACCACAGCGACAAAACCCCTGAACAAAGAAGCCCAACCTACTTTTGTTACTTTCTGTTTGACGCCATTACAGCCTCACGATTCATTGCATTCCCACGGCATTGGGCCTGGAGCTCCCAACCCTCCTTCCCCGCTTCCCACCTTCCCTCCCTTCACCGTCCGTCTTGGCTGCCAGAGCTTTGCTATTTCATCTGGGCCTCCCCTCCCCCATTCAACAAATTCCAGCTGCGACCATCAAAGAGCGTACTGCTGACACTGGATGCGAAGGAGTGCTTAGCACTACAGCAGGACCGATTACATAACAAGTGAAATAACGCCTCTGATATGAAGGTCTTTGGGTTAAATGGGTCTCACGGTAAGGTAATATTTCAGGCAACTCACACTTATTGTCACATGAAGCCTTGCACAGCGATTGTTTTAAAACGTCCTCATAAAGAATGGGGCTCTGCTGGGAAAAGTCAAGGTTTACAAGGGGTAAAAAGCTGTGCGGCAACACCTGGAGTATCAAAATTCTCACCTTTCTCCCAGCGTCTCCTTAACACTCATTTTCTAATCCTGTCCTCTCATTCGCTCACTCTACCCTGATATGACAATGCTTAAACCTGGGGATTTCTGTAAAAAAAGATAAAAAGAAATAACTCTGAACTCTTCAAGTTGTGACTGGCTCAAAGGCCACGGGGCAAAGTCCTGCCTGGTAATTTTGTTGCAGGGCCTCGCTCCACATTTTCTACTAATACATCACCCCTTTCAGCAATGGAAAGCTAAATCCTGCCCGTGCCTGCCAGCTGCCATAAAATGATCAGCAGTTGAAAGCTTTCGTCTCTAAGAAGAAACTTAATTGCGCGTGTGCTCATCCTGTCTGTCTATATTTGTCGGTCGGCCCTTGAGGGCCGTGTTTGTCTGGGACTGATAAACAGCTCTTAGCTTCACGTCCTGTCTTCATCAGTCCGTACAAGGGAGCTAGGAAAGCACTTATCCACCTCCAAATCGGCTTCAGCCATTAAGGTTTAAAATGCACTAAAATGAATAAAGCCCTCTTCTTCCAGCCTTTGGACCGGCTGGCAGACAGCAGCATACATACGGGGAGAAAGGTGCGTCAGTTACCTTGTTGTGAAATGCTCGAGGGCCGTAAGAAGCGTGTAGGGAAGGAGGCGATCGGGCTTTGAATTATTACTTTTCCAGCTCACTTGCAGATTAAAGCTGTAGTGTTGAGGTCATTAAAGCGTTAAAGGGGATGCTAAGAGGAGAGAGATGAGTAAGAAGTAAGAGGGAGAAGGAAGAGAGTCCCAGATGGCAACAGACGGAAAGAGAGAATGTGCAAATCTAGCCGTTTTCTTACTGCAGGGTACTGTTGATATTTTGCAGTCAGTCATAAACTGGTTTATTTGGAGACATGTCAGACCCTGGAGGTGCTTCATTGTCACTCTGTGTGTCATTCAGTTCACTAAATATTTACAGAACAGAGCTGAGCCGAGAGGATTGGCAGACACACTCAGAGATCAAATTTTGGATGAAACACAATTTAAAAAAGTGTAAAAAAGTATTACACCTTCAATTGATTATATCCCACCTCCCTCTGGCACCATCAGAGAAACTCCACTGTGGCACAGAGCTGTTTAAAGTAAATACATTAAACTGATAACTGATTACAAAGTGATTTTATGCGTTTCTCACTGTCAAAAAACAGCAAAAAAATGCACATAAACATTAACCCTAGCTGCATGGACATTGAGTGTCTCTTCATCGTGCTATTAGCACGTAATTGATTTGAATTGCCCTCAGCTTGAAAAGAACAGTAGAACCTGTTGTCCTCAGTCAGTTGACCCTCGACTCGTACTCTTCTGCCAGCGTAAACACAATTACGAGGCACACACAGCTGAATATCCCCTGGAAGTCTCAATTTAACAGGGAAATGTAACCTCTTCTTCTATTACGCTAACGCATAAAAGGCAAAAACATTGTGTATTTAGCTCTTTTCAGTTTTTCCACAGGGGAACGTGTCCTGGACGATGAGAAGAAGGGAAAATTAACAGACTAGGAGGAAATATGGTGCTGCATTGGAGTCTGTGTCGCTGGGACTTACAGCTGCACCACTAACTGAAGTCGGTCAGTATCCATCGGCTCTCCTCCCATCGAATCGAGTCGGAGGGCTCGTTCACCAGCTACCCAAACTCATCTTTAGTCAGTGTCGCAAGCTAACCAAAGAAAATGGGACAAAAAACATGCAAGGTTCTGCCAATTGAAAGCAACGTGCCACGTGGAGCAGCCCTAAAGGCTTGGAAGACCAGGTGAGTTTAATCAAGCCAACAACCCTGCGCCTCTGTGTTCTATTTATGTGTCATTTATTTTAAAACCACTACCAATTGCCCTTATGAGTGGAGGTTAAATGTTTAGTCGGGGGGGGGGGGGGCATGGAGGAAGCCGGAAAGAGCAAGAAGTGGGCCAGAAGGGAGAGGGAGAAAGGTGAGAGGCTGCAACAATAAACAAACAAGGCAACGCAAACCGGTGGTATAAATAACTACCAACATGCAGAAACCGCTTCACACGACCTGACGCACTGAACCTCCACCGACAGAAAACATCACAGTTCCATTGTCCGATTCCTCAAAGACATCCCGCCTTTTCTCCCAGTTGCACAACAGGACCTCTGGCTTTCTGGCTCTCTCTTCCTTCTTTACGTTCAGGAGCTCAGAGTGAGGAGTTGCCATGATCTGATCCTCATGATTCCCATCGGCGTTCATGGCTTTGAAGTCTTCCAGAAACAATCTGATGTGTTTGACCATGCAGGGAACCCGTCAGCTTTTCCTTCTCCCAGCAATTTGTGGGCCTGAACTAATGATGTTAATCTCCCCTAATGTCATTACGGCCCATTGATGACTTTAGTTATGTCATATAACGTCCGAGCTTGGACACCTGTAAATACCAATGGCACAATCTCTCCACCTTTCGGTTTTCGTCGTATTTTCTGACCTATTTCTGACCTTTCGTCGTATTTTCTGACCTATTCTATTCGGCGAGCTTCGACACTTTCAGCAGGCTGTCGAGGCGCTTTCACACGGGACTAAGCAACGTGTTAAATTCACCCGGCGACTGTGCGGTCTCACACCGAGGTGGGACATCACCGTTTCAGAAAGACACCTGACATTTTTTCACTCAAAGCAATCACCTATTAAGAGGCTTTTTTTTTACTTACATTATCTTTCTGAACAAGTGTTCCTGGGATTCATGTTCTAAAAAAATGGGACTGTACTTTCCATCACAATCTGAACACTCTGCTTTTGAGTTATATAATGATGAGTATTTCTTAAAATTCAAGTGTTTGAAAAAACTATATTATTTTCAATAGAATATGATATTGAACGCATCAAACTTTCAGTGAAGGCTTCGTTACACCACTAGGGCACACTGTTTGTATTTCACACACATTACATAAATAACAATAGTACGCATTTATGGTTTCACGTTGGCCTGTATTGTTTCATATCAGTCTGCCATGCAGTTAAAGAGCTGCACTTAGCTTTTGTTCCCTACATGCAGAACGTTGCCGTCGGAGCTTGTTGGAGGCTCCAACTTCAGACCCATCTCAAGCAAAGGCCCCCGACTTCGCCGCACAGAGCAAACACACCCACTGCTCGTATTTGAAGTAGATGTAACCTTAGATTGTGTGTACTAATCAGGCGGACCCACCCTCTAAACTCTTAACCGCTGGTTACCACCTCATCAGACATCATGGGTTCGAAAGGCAGTCCTCCTGAGACCAACGGATGCTCGAGGAAAGGTTTTGGGAGAGGGAAAAGGACAGTGTGTGCACGAGTACAGCTCGAGACAAACGACTACCAGTGGCTACAACCGCTTTGGCAAGGCTTTAAATAGATACGAAACCGCTCCAAACCGCTACTCTGGGCCTGTTATGCGGCCGGCTCCACAGCGGACACACAAATGCTGCAGAAAAAAAATAACAACACACCAAAAAAATGGTGTAAAACAAGCCCAAAATACAATGTCTTGGGTTACTCGCTTGCACTCAACAAGATTGAGGAATTTCCGCAACCTAGATGTATCCGCGAAAAAGAGCGGTGGGTCATAGATGGGCTGTTTGAAGGGTAGAAAGCGTGCGTCAGGCTGGAGAAAAGGCACAGGCTGCGTGTGTTTGCTCATGCTGTCAGCTTTGTGTTTAAAGATGTTTTAACGGTTGTCCAGGAAAAAAGGAGGCCATTGTAAAAAGGTTTTAAGGAGTTGGACCTGTAAAAAACAAATTGGCAGTTTGTCTGAGAGCTTATCAGAAAAGTAGCTTGAAGTTAGAGATATAGATATTGGCTCCAGGCTGTAAACGAGTACAACGCCAAAAGGCCCAAGGGCAGAGACGTGGAGCTCTGAACTTTACTTTACTCATTTCAAGCCAGAAAGACCAATCTGTTCTATATTACGCCCTCTAATTGTTCCTTTTTTGTGCAAATATCATAAAAATATTTTTATATTGAATTAGGATATTACTTTTTTACTGTAACATTTGCTCTAGTTTTCACATGTTGCAACATGTTTGTTGGAGTATATTATTGTGAAACTCCCATTTTGAGGCGTTATTCTCTCTTAAATAAAAGCTATCCTTAAATAAACTCCCAAATACTTGAGAAAGACTCTCTCTCAAAGCGCTTAACAATAACAAAGAACTTATGATAGACGTCGAAAACTACATTTAGCTTTAGCTTACAGCATGTTCAAGCAGACATCACGTCAGTCAATGACTTAAAAGAATGTACTAGCAAAGAAGGGCAGTTGTTTGAAAACCACAATGTCTGAGACGAGGTTTTTTCCCGCTCGGAAAGGCACTTAAAGCAGCAGAGTACAAAGAACAATATGTTCACGGCACACAATAATTGAACCAATGTTCCCAAACTTCAGTGCCACATCAGTCCACTGAGTCATTTATTTTCCCCAACTGGTGAAGCTTTGACTCATTCCCTGATTCCCCGATCGATGCAGCCGGCAAAGATACAGAGTACACAATGGACTTGATGGGCCGAGTGAGTCCTGCACCAGTTAATACACAACATGAATAATGGCAGCAAAAGGAGGGTAAAGACCGTCTGGACGAGGCAGAAGAAGACAAGAGGAATTGGCCAAATTCCCAGCTGGTTTTCACTAAACCCCCCAAAAAACGAAAAAGGCAAGACGAAATATTTGTCTTGTATAGATTGTGGTTCATTGTCCGGCTCAGGGACGTTATGTAAGTTTAGCAGAATAACACATTAGAAAATGAGCCTTTTCTCCCTGACCACAGATTGACACACCCAACTCTCAACATCGTGATCTAGAATCCGCTTGGACGCGGTACCACTTTTTGTCGTTACATGCATAGTGTCTTTTCAAAATATACTTCCGTCTTAACCTGACGTTGGGTTTAAGCGACATAACCATTGAGTTAGGAATAGGAGACGACTCACGTACAGCTAGAGAGTGACGAGAAAGTCAGGAACAACGGGCTCCTCTTTGAGCCACGCACCAGATAAAACTACATTAAATATCAATTTCTGTGCATCCAATTAAAGGGCTCATTCGTGCAGAAAGGGAGTACAGATGCAAATGAAGGGCTGAGACAAATCCTGTACATGGCCCGAGTACATTTTCAGGAGCATAGTGATAAATCTTTAATAAAAGTCTCACAAAGATACAGGCGTGAAGATGCGATTTGACAAACGCATTTAAGCACTGCAAAGCCATTTGGGCCCGAGGGCACGTGGACAGGAGGAGCCAGGGATCAAGTGCACGAGGCCTCCATCGGAGCCATATCACACAGCCGCTCCTCCGGGGAACACGCGTGCTCTCCGTGCTGGCTGCAGGTGCTGTGTCGACCAGCCAGGCACAGATGTTTGGAGATTTTTGAGCTCCCCATCTAACGCCATCTACGAATGGCAATGAGTAGACGCGCACACACACACACACACACACACACACACACACAGACACACACCTTTGCAAAAGTTAAGTAAGTAAGTATGTTTGTAAAACTGTACTTAGTATATTCTACAAATTACAAAGCGTAATATATTTCTCATTTGAGTTCAACAGCAACGTGCAGTCATAAGCTAAGTGTGTGTGTCTCTGAGTGACTGTGTGTGTGTGTGTGTGTGTGTCTGAGTGACTGTGTGTGTGTGTGTGTGTGTGTGTGTGTGTGTGTGTCTGAGTGACTGGTGTTGCGTGTGTGTACGAATTCCAAGTATCAGAGGCTATGAAGCGCCAAGTTATAGTTATATATTAATTTGTATCTTAACTTGACAAATGATTTAATCAATGTAATTTGTTCTGGATTTGTTTCAGCTCTACTTTATGTGTGATTTCATCTAATTGACGTCACAAGGCTGATAAGCCGTTGACTACATTTGTTTATGTAATCTTCACCCTAATGAACCATTTAAATACAAAGACATTCCTGCTGATTGTCCATTCTTTGGATTTGTAGGTAGGAATCATTCGCATAGCATCAAGCAAACTGGACCTTGTCCATGAAAAATAGGAAAGGTTTTTATTGAAAACGGTTGCTGTCAAAAGTGTCATCCCCAGTAAAGCTCTGTAGCAGAACTCAACAGCCACACAGCAATGTTTCAAAGGTTAAAGACAGGACTTAGCAAAGTCAACAGCAGTATTAATTCCTTCTTGGGAGCTGAAACTTCTCTAAATCATGAAGTTCTAGCATCTAAATTATTTTCGGCGGAGCTGCACACTGATTCAGCTCCAACTATTATTATTATTAAGAAGTTGCCGAATCACCACCAGGCTATTTATCCTCAGTTTTGTAAGCAAGAGTCAATTGTGGATGTCAAGCGGTAAAGGACATCTTGGCCGCCCGATGGATTTCAAGTGGTAAATCATATGCAAATCTGCTTGTTTGGCCTGTTTGCTCAGACGCAGCATTCTTTCACCTTATTATTTCAGACGGTTCAGTGGCAGCTGCACCGGCTGGCTGAACGTCCTGCGCCGTCCCGTCCCTGGACTTTGACAGCGAAGTTCCGACCGTATATTTACCCTCGCACTATTGATCACCAGGCTGTTTGACAAGCCAAACCAGGAAAGAGCGGCGTTTGCTCAACGCTGAACCTTTCCACATGTATCCTGAGCAAACACGGCGTGCTGCAACTGGTGTCTGACATCAGACATGATAACGAGTGTCAACAGCGCGCTGCTCGCAAGACCTGGATCACGTGTTAGTGTCCGATGAACACCATGGAGAGCGCTTAATAAGCTGAAGGATGATTATTGCCTCGCATCAGTCGGTTTCCTCTGCTTGTTTTTCCCATTTGAAAAGAAACAAATAAGCCTACCTGGTGACGTCACGTCGTGCCGGGCCATGAAGAAGCCATTTCCCGGAGTGGACAGCCAATCCAGGGAGGACATAAGGAGAAGGAGTAGGAGATTGGAGGACAAGGCGGCCATGATGCTGGAGAGAGAGAGAGAGAGACACACAGAGGGCAGAGTGAGCAAGGGACAGGGACACAGTGAATATAATTATCAGTTGAACTCAATGATGACATGCCCATGTGAAAAAACGCCTCCTTTCCTCGCTACTCTCTGGCTCGCTCCCTGTTTTTTCTCTCTTTCTTGCTCTGTGCTCTGGGAGCATTAAATTGTGGGTCGGTACCACTGCCATTTAGCTTCAGCTGGTGTATGTGAACCCGAACACGGGACAGGGAATAAAAAATAATTAATTATCATGTCCGATTGGTGCCGCAGCATTTGTAGGTTGAAACGAGCGTGCTGTTCCTCCGGGGTAAGGCCGAAAATATTTTGAACTGTTGCTCTAGTCCACGTTACACAACCGTGGTTTATAAATAGTGATTAATAAAATGCTTACACGCAACAACGCACGTGGTAATATTAAACCTGTATGGATTCTGATGGCAACTTGGGGGCAGCAGAAACAAGCTGTGAACGCAACATGACACATTATCCCCTCTTAGGTAGATGCGGACGGCGCCTGACTCCTTTCCTGAAAGTCGAAGCCGATGTGGAACATGATAAACATGAGTTAATGGTCTCAATCTTTAGTTTTAAGTCTCAAGTTCAAGTTCAATACAGTAGGGTGGTCATTTAGTAAATTGTTCCATTTAGATTAAAATAGACAACAGAGCAACGCATGCATTAGGGCGGGGCTAGGTTGTGATTGACATCATGCTACCAAAGCATTGTCCGGTCTCAGAGTTTCTGTGGTTTTGTTTTACAGCTTTGAACTTGTTGTGTTTTTAGTTGTACACCGATGTTAATTGTCAAATGTTGTTTCTGTCTCAAGTTACTTGAGGTTGCAAAAAAGCCTGCTCCCAAACAAAATGGCCGCTTCTTCCATACGGCCTGTGATGTTGGGGAAATGATTGGCAAACCTTTGCTCATCCAGACATCCAAGAGATAAGTGGAAACATTATCATCCGTCACGTTTGCTGCACATGTGAAAAATCCAATTTCCCCTTTTTTTTAAACTTTTCTTGGACTTTTTAGCTGCTCAATAAGCAAACATGTTCAGCTAGTCCCTAACTTTGAGTTGAGTGTTCCGACTGCTGGGTCAGCCACCTACCTAACTAAAACTATTGATATGTTCTCACATATAAAAACTGAGAGGAACTGTTGTCAATAAGTTGTCCTTGCCAACTCTCAAGTGAAGTCCAACCTCTAAATATAGGCAAAACCTTCTGTCCGCACCCGCGGCTATTTACAGCTGCCTAGCAGCCAGCAAACCAAAACGTTGAGGCTGTGTTTTTCAGTGCAACTGTGGCCATATTATTATTCTTCTGAGGTATTCTGACAGTAAGTTATAGCGCTTATGAAATTCTTCAGTTCTTTTTTTTTCATATGGAAAACATTTAGCTCTGCCTAGAAAATAGTACGCCAAACTGACTATTTCACAACATTCTCGTATGTAGAGTACAACTACTGGCAATGAAGCCAGCTCAGGCACGTTTATTTAAGGCTGACAAGCTTGGCTAGAGCTTTGCCAGACCAAGTGGCACATCAATGCATATTTGAAAGGCATGCGCAAAGTTCACATGAGCGTTATTAAAACACCACATATCAAAACACCGGTAGTTGTTGAAAATAAGAATAAGACGTGGTGTCTGCGCGGCTTCTCTTCAGGTACTCCGACTTCCTCCCACAGTCAAAAACATCCGGGGCTCCGGGGATTAGATTAATTGGTGACTCTAAAAGGTGTGAGTGGTTGTTTGTTTCCGTGTGAGCCCGGTGATTGACTGGTGACCAGTCCAGGGTGTACCCCGTCGTTTGCTGGGATTGACTACAGCCCCACTGCGACCCGGCATGAAGGATATGCAGCTTGGAAAATGACCGACAGTGCGAAAAGCAACTACAACTAAAACTATGCAACGTAAAGATAATCGACATCTTTGCAAAATGGTGCTACTTAATTTGTAAAACTGGACTTGAGAGTATATTCTACTTAAAAGTGTAACATATTTCTCAATTTAGTGTGTGTGTCTGAGTGACTGTGTGTGTGGACAAAGTCCAAATATCAGTAGCTATAACGGGCCAAGTTATAGTTATGCAAGAATGAATGACACCGGGTGCATCTGGGCCGTCTAAAATCTTCCATTTACGATCAATTATTGCTCATCAGATCCTGTCAGACACTCTCATTGTGGTGATCTGTCATTCTGGAATCCTGATTTAAAACACCTCTTCACAAGCTAAAGAGCCATCATCACAGTGAACTCAACGGCTTCTTATCAGCACTTTTGAAACAGATTTTCTTTAAAGTATTATGACAGGTGGGGTCAAACAGTCCCTCCACTCCAATATGCGGCCTCATGTTAATCCCAATATTAGTCTCAGTCCTTCGTTCTCTGGCACGGCTGGTGCCTTTTCATCTCCTGCATGTTTCTCCCCCATTCCACTCCTCCACTGGGCCAATGCGAGCTCAAAGACTCGCGAGAAGGCCACCACGGCCAATCAAAAAAGAGGGAGGCTCGGCTCAGGCCTCCTGGGGTTCCTTGGTAAACATTTAAGGCCTCGGTGTTCAAACCTCCTGCCACTACCTCTGCCCTAAAGTACACACACATCTTGATTTGGCACCCCCCCCATCAGCAGCACGCCCGTCCCATGTTTCCCCAATTCTCCATTGATCATCTGTGTTTGTGGACAAAGGGAGCTGTCAAACGAGGGAGGAGGTTCTAGGAGTAGATGGGGTTATGGTGTGAGGTTGAAGCCAAAGGAAATAAAAGGTTATGGGGTGAGAGGTCACATCATCTCTGCGTTCGCCCGTCTATAGCTGTAGAAGAAAAGCCCCCACCCCCCTTGCACACACACACACACACACACACACAGATTGATGTTGTAAGCCAAAGTTTATCTTACGGTTCTTCCAAAGAAAAAGCGGAAAGACTGGGGAGTGATTTCTGTGACTCTGCTATTCTGTCTTCATCCCACATTCATCATCGCTCTGCACAGCTGGTGGACACTACCTTTGTCTGTAGACGTGTCTGGGGACACTGAGGTGAAACTTCTTTTGGAAAATGAATAATTAACAGCTTTACTTGCATTTCTAATTTATTACAAGACCAAGTGTATAAGGTAATTAAGAGATGCATGCTGCTTTTATAGTGCAAGGAAAGAATATTGTCCGGTATTTCTGAAATGACCTGTTATCATCTATGATATTGTTATATTCTTTCTGTGAACAAGAAGACTGTTAACACATGGGCCCAATGAGGGATTTCAAGGAAAATACATCCAACCTGTTTGTCGGACCTTAACCATGCATGCACAGACTCAGCAAACAGTTATAAATATACCCCACAGGGTATTTACTTAACATCCAGATAAAGTTCAAAAGCAATCTAGAAATGATCATCCGTCAAGATGTTTACCTAGTGTGAAGTAGGCATGGAAATTCATTAACACGATTATAGAAAAGTGTGTTGGCTTGCGTCAAAAAGGTTGGGATAATCAACATTAGCCTTTAATCATTCTCTTTCTTTATGCCCCACCATGCCTTTGCAAACCTTCCAGTGATGTCAGAAAGCCGCGTTGGCCTCCCGAGTGGAGGCGAGAGGAAATTAAATGCAAGGTAGACAGAGAGCTCTGGCAGATGTACCACTGATAAAAAACAACCACTGGTAAAAACAACCAGGACAGAGCTCCTCAGAGGGAGTCAGACGCTGCAGAAAGATCTTTATAAGGATATTGCAGTTACGTCTTTAGTGAAGACTCTTACACACTGCGCTATTTCTAGCTCTCCGAGATGAAAGTATCCAATCGAAAACACAAAACCGTGAAATGAATGCATCAAAGCAGACAGAGCAGTCCATTTGGCATTTTAGCCAATCTTTTGTTTTTTGCAGCCAGAAGTCGTATGATAGGGCGGAGCTAATAATCAAAAGCTGCTAAAGATATTTTTAGGCAAAATATTGTTACAATTAGCTTTTATGAACAGTGAACATACAGTAGCAACATCTCACTCACAACCCAATCTCAACCAAGCCCAAAATAACCTTTCTTTATTGCAATATACTCTAATTTAGTAATTGAACACCATCTGCATTTCACTTTTTAGATCCTATGTTGTCGCCTAGACATGCATAGGAATTGATTTAATTCTGCAACTCCTCTTTCAGAATGTGTCATAGAATAGGTTTTGCCTGAGGTTTGCCTGAGGGGCCTTAAAAACCCCTTCACCGATGTTCTCCCATAAGTCACTGCAAGACCGGCAGCTAAATGTATCAAGTGTTTGAATTAATTAATATGAATTGAATGCCTTACATTAGAGCGCTCACCATCAACTCTTCATTATCTATTTTATTCCCTATCTTTCATTCATTACTGTCTCTCACTACAAATGTGCTCGTGCCCTGAGTCTCCAAGTGCCTAACTGCAGGGGTAATTGAGGGTTGGAGACAAATTAAAGGATGGTATTAATCAATTCAATATGACCCCTGTTAATTGCTTCGGAACCAATGACCGAACTACTTGCCAAGCCTTTATATTAATAATATCCATTCAGCGCCTGATTTATCCAGGAATGAGGGAAAAGAAGAAGTTAATCTAAGATAATAAAAAGAAGTTAATAAAAGATAATCTAAACTACAAACGCTGCTGTATACTAAAAGCAACCACAGGTTATCATACCTGTTTCAGTAATAATAGAGCTTAACAAAGCAGCAAGACAACTGTTTTCAAAGACGTGTATTAACAGTCAAAAAACTGTTATTCGTGCTTTCTGTTTTTTCTCCCCAAATCATCTGGATATAAAAGGTACTTTACTTAGAATATGATCTTTTCTGATTTGCGGGGCAAAATGCCACCCTTGAAAAAACTACATTGAGGCCTTTGTTGCTTTCACAATGTCAAGATAAATGATTGTTTTCACAAAATAACACTTTTGTTGTTGTCAATACTAATGCTGAAAAATCAAAGACGACCAATAGAAGTAAGTCAAAGTTTCATATTGGGCACAGCAGCGTCAGACCAGATGAACCGTGTGTGTCGGCCATAAAAAGAATCTCATCTGATCTTATTCTGTAAATTGTGCGTTGTGTTTTGACAAGAAAGGCTGTGATTTAAAAATGGTGGTTAAAACCGCAAACCAAAGTGCCAACATAAAAAGAGCTTTGTGTAATAACCATAACTCCGACAAATCGATACAATCATAAAGCCTTTCCTTGATTGTACGCCCATAGACCTCCAAGCACCAATCAATGAACCAATAGAGCATATCAATCACTGCCTCAACAAGGCAGGGTTTCATGGCTGCGTGATACACATTAAACATTACTTAAAAAATATTGTTGCAGAAATACTCAACATCGTTATGATCATTTCAAAAATATTCGCAAAGCTGTCCAAGGTCCACCGCTTGGTCTCCCAATAATTACACAAGAATCATGCATCAATAGAATTTCTACCCTCGACCTTCCCCTCCACCACTATCACCTCTTCCTTTAAAATAAACAAACTGGGAGTAAACATACCACAGACTTCAACATGAGTCTGCACGTCAGACCAGAAACTGGTGAGGAAGAGTCCACACAGGCAACGGGAGGCAGAAAGCTTGCAGCTCAAGCCAGCTGCTTCCCGCAGACCTCCAACTGTTACTGGTAAATTCACATAAATGCCTTGACCCGTGGTGGGAGGAGTATGGATGTGTGCCTGTGGGTTATGGTATGGGCCTACATGCATACACAGAACACACTTTTCACCCGTGTCCCTGTGAGCGCGCTCAGGCATTCAGATCTGGCTACTGGAAGTGCTCGAATGTCTCCTACTCTTATTTCATAAGAGAGAGAGAGAGAGAGAGAGAGAGAGAGGGAGGGAGAGAGAGAGAGAGAGGGGGAGAGTGGAAAACTCAGAGTCAGCACACTGGCATGAGCATAAGCTGCACTGGAAGCAGGACACACATCTGCGAATCCCGCTACTCTGTGTGTCTGTGTGCGTGTCTCTGTGTGCGTTAGCCAAGTGAAAGCTGGGCGTGTGCATTTACGTGCATGCAGGCGTGTGTGTGTTAAATCAAGTGTGTGTATCGGAGCGAGAACAAGAAAGGTAGAAAGTGCAAAGAAGAGCCTGGGTCCAGCAGTAACGGAGAGAGAGAGAGAGAGAGAGTGTGCTGCACAGATCTGAAAATGTAACTTTGGAGAAAACGGTGGGCTTTGCCGTATGCTGCGCTCTGTGTGTGTGTGCGTGTCTGCACGCACGGGCATGCAACAGTCTGACAAAGATTTTTCAAATAATTGCTCTCTCAAACTTTTTTGTCTTTGTTGTCTCCTCTGCTTGACACCAGCACAACGATCTTGCTTTTGTCTCCGTTGGTCTTTTCAGAGAGAATTCAAACAGAACTTTAAAGAATGGACATTCACGCGTGAACCAATTAGGTTCAAATAAATTATACACATCCAGTGCTTAGAGTTGAACAATGGGAAAAGTCATAATCTAGACGTTCAGAAACCAAACTTCTTAATTTGCCCTAAATCCTGCTGTATAGCTCACACACACACACACACACACACACACACACACATCCAGACAACCAGCATGACTGAATTTGTGAGTAAAATCTAATGGTTTTCCTGAGTGCGTCAGAACATAACAGCTGTACTTAATGCTGAATGTGGGAGTTTAGCAGACGCAGAGAGAGAAAATGATGGAACTGAAATGTGTCTTTGAACTCGCCTGGTCTGTTAGTCTGCATCAGCTACCTGGAGGCTGCGGTAATGGCTGCCATTAAGCAATGTGCTTTTTTCTCTCTATCTGGTGAAACAGTAAACATATTGAATATGGCGCAGCTTTTTTTTTTTTCGTATTTAGTGTGTATCACCCACCCAGACGGGAAAGGGAAAGGGAAATTGGTATGTGATATTTACAATGTCTCACAGTCTCCGGGATTGTTTATTATTTCTAAATTTGAAACAATCCAAATCCCAAAGGATTACATAGCGATGTTTGATAGGATTTGGATAAAGGCAACAATGTGGAGAAACAACAGAGGAAGAACTTGGGAAAAGAAAAGGTAATGGTTCCTAATGGTGCAGTAAAACCTTTTTCTTCACAAACTACAACAGGAAGAAAATGCAGACATGAAGTCCTTTATGTTTTGGGCTGTTGATGACACTATATCAGCAAGTTAAAGGCATCATGACGTCTGGAAACTCATTAACACTTCCACGTTTGCTAAAAAACAGATTAAAACGGTTAAAAAAGAAAGAAAATTCATCATCTCTATGGTGGCACTCCTAGTGTAAAATAAACAATGTTCCATCATGTTCACTTAAGGGGAGCGTGGGTCTATGATGACGTCCATCTGTGCATCCAACAAGAAACACTATGTTCCAGCTGTACACTTTTATTCCAAGGTTTCTATGAGCCCAGCATGTCAAACGCGTCTCTAACCCGGACAGATGTTTGTATTCCCCCCTTTGGGATAACATGGCTATCAGTGCGCTCTTCGGGGTACATGGCTGTCACCTCCTGAGCGGCTGCAGCAGAATACCGGACCAACGACATAAGTTTATGTCACAGTACTGCGAGCGTCAGTAAAGCTCGCAGTACTCGCGGCACACTAAATATTTATGCTCGCACAAAGATATTTTGCAACCATCAGCCTGAGCCCCAAAAAACTGAAAAAAAACAAATGTAATGCAAATCATTTTTTAATTATTTCAAGTTTCCATGCTCGTGCGTAACGCGTGCAGTTTTCTGGAGGTTGTTTATGGGTAGGCTACAATAAAACGAGTACTGCGCGCTTCAAGAGAAACCGCACACAGATGTACTTACTTATTTTTGAAGTCTTGCGCTTAAAACGCCACAAAGACACTGCTGATCGACTTTTCACAACTTCATCTGATGGCCAGCCCGAGAAACAAGCCCGAAAAGTCCTGCGCCTCTTCACTGCAGCCTGCCCGGTCCAGTCTGATCGGCGCGATTGGGCTTTCCAGAGCATCCGACCATCGAGTAATCGGCTCTGTGTCGCTTTCCTGCTGAATATTTTTGGTCTTATCTGCAACTCAGTCCATCATCTACCCACTTCCAGAGCTACACGCGCTACGTAGCTGAGAGTCAGTGTGTGTGTGTGTGCGTGCGCGCGCGTGTGTCTATGCGTGTGTTTCTAATGGCGGTGAAGCGCCCTCATCCGCCAGCAATCCAATCTGCTCCATTATGAGCGGGGACAGCCGGGGAGAAAGACCTCCAAAATAAAGCTCTCCCGTGAGGAGCCGCATGCGGCCACGCTCTCCGGGGTTTTTTTTTTGTGATCAAAGTTTTTATTGGTTTTCATACATACATTAAAAATCAACCATCCATAATCAATATACATACACATATACTCACATACCCCAACGTAGATATACACACATGCATGCATACACCATGCACCTGCATACACCATGCAGCTGCAGACATGCAGTTGAACATGTAAACAAAACAGAATAAAAAATACCGAATAATAAACAGAATAGGAAAACATAATAATAATTAAAAAAAAATTAAAAACAGCCAAAATAAGAAAAAAATATATAATAATAATAAAGGAGAAAAAAAAGAAATACAAGAAACTGCTTCTACTAGATATGATCTCCTGCCATACATTTTCCGTAATGTCATTGCCGAGATCCCTTTGGCACGTAGTCGTAGGCCTTCGCACATTCTGATTTGAATGTTTGATATTTTCTTGTAGAATATTGAGGCAACGTATGGAGAGCTTGAAGCACTGACAAATTCTTCACTCCTTTTTTCCCCTCTCTGCTCCTTTCAGTCCAAACACCTTCCCCATGCTGCTCCTCAGCTAAACTTCCAGAAATACCCTTTCTCCTGTAACTTAAATTTTCCTTTAAGGTTCTCAAATGATCTGACTACCCCATCTTCATATATATCCTTGACCGCATCTATCCCATAGAATTGTATCTTTGCCTATATATACAAATGACGGGATTATTCCAAAGTGAGGAGTAGTCTTGCTTGTAATGAGAGATACCGAGCATCTTGTGTGCCCTTGCCCACTGAGCGTGTTGCAAAATATTTTGATGTGTTTTTGTGATAGTATGTCTATAACCTGGTATGGTGCTGATAGTATCTCTTCCATTTTTGCCCACGGTGGTTTGGGTCCAGAATTTTCCCAGTGCCATGCAAGCTTATTCATTTCAAATGCCATACTATATAATTCCATATTTGGAAGAGACCATTCAAGAGACCTCCATTATTTTTTGAGGGAAAGAGCTCTCTGTTTAAAGTTGAAATGAAGAAATGAACTATTTGACTTGTCTGCTTATGGTTGGGGAGAACCAAAATGAATATGAGATAAAACATAACATCAGCTAATTAATTAAATTAAAGGAATTTTTAAGGTACGTTACGTGCACGTCGGCAAACAGTGACTTTTTATATTTTATTTATTTTGCACAGTCTGGTGTACGTTCCACATTAAATAACCAGCGGATACGGCGTGCGTATAATTGGGCATCGACGATGCACCACATCACTCGACTGAGAGTCAGCAAATGGAACAGGAAATTGCTATGTCTGTAAAGAAAACCTGCAGAGAAAGTATTATTAGCATTCGGTCTGACTGTAATTAATTGTCATAATAAAGGAAAAGATATGTGAGATCACATGGTTGGTTAAGGATTGTAAAATGAAGGTGGAAAGATAAATCAAATCAATGTGGTTGTGGAGGCGCTCATACTGTAGTATGGTGCTTCTCACAACACAGTGACTGACATGCAGCGTTGCGCAATAAGCAGCACATGGATGGCATGCGGCCTGTGTGGACTCATGTGGCCAAGTGACTGTCCGGATATACCCCCCCCCCCCCCCCCCCACTCCTACCCAAAAACCATCAATCAGCATGGACGGCCCGCCCCGACACGTGAGGGAGAAACACCCCCATGCACCCAGCTGTTGCTGCTGCTGCCGCTGTTCAACTTCATTTGCCTCTGCGGAAGTAATGACCGTCTCATCTCATCTTTGACCGCTTATCTGGGTCGGTTTGCAGGGGACCCCGAATTTCCCTTACCCAGGCCGCATCTACCAGCTTTGATCGGGGGATCCCAAGGCGTGGAGATATAATCTATTCACCTAGTCCTGGGTCTCTGGGGCTTCTTCACAGCTGGACCTGGCTGGTACACCAGCTTTGGTGACCATAGGAACAAAGATTGACCGGTAGATTCGCCTTCCGACTCGGTTGTCTTAGATTTGACCATCATTTTTCTTTTATGGATTTGACTTATTAATCAATCAATCTTTCCAAGGCAAACATCCATCAGAAGAAAGTAAATAAATTGTAGTGCTAAAGTCAAATCTTCAGGGTTTCATTTTGCTCCCTTAACATACCGTTTTTATATAACATACGGTCCACAGTCGCCTCATGACGCCATGTGTAAGCCAACTAAGTCGAAGCAATCACTGTCCTCTGAACAAACAAACACTTTGATTGGAGAGTATATGTCAGCACTAAGAGAAGAAGATAAACCCTTAGAACACACGTCATTCCACCTTGTCAGCGGGAAAAAGAAACAAAGACAGACTGTAAAACACAGCGGCGTCCTGAAATATATTATTTTCCTCTCCATTAATGCACTGTAGTTGAAATAATTTGTGATGCAAGGGGAAAAAGAAATGGAATTGGCATGTCTGCTTTGAGCGCAGCCATCCTTTTAGTTTTATAGTCTCATCCCCATGTCTTTTGAATCCAAAAGGCCTTCAAGTCATGGCTTAGCTTCCCTAAATCCTACGGCTGCAGTGCACATAAAAACACTCAGGCAACTAAAGCTGCTCCCATGGAGCACAAATACTGTCAATTAGAAAGAGTGCAGTTGCAAATAGGAAAGAGCTATGACTACAATATATTTAATGAGGTTACTGTAATTAGCTGACCTTTCACTAGACTGTGACATCAATCACTGAAGAGGTAAAAACACACTGCAAACAACGTGTATTAAGTGAACCCTGAACACGCCCACGTGTTGGTCAGCAGAGGGACGGAGAGCCCTGATTGGACTACGGTGGGGGCGTCCATTGAATTAGTTCCTTTGTTATGGAATAGTCATTCCTGCGATTGTCTGCCCTGAGTGATCATGTGGACTACTGCTGTATTGAATGTGACAACAGAACAATGCATCCGGCCCACAGGCCGATGCCACAGTGACCGCTCTGCACGGCGCGGTCGCTGGTCACTCAACCTTGACCAGCCCGATAAGGGTGATATTAAATATGAAAAGACCAAACCAACCGTGCATTAGTTATTCCATAAATACTTGCTTCCCAGATTCCTACTGAATATTTAGATCTTTATGAATGATACCTATTTATAGAATATTTTCGTTTTTTAAAGAGGCTAATTGATTTCGTAAAAACAGCTGGGCACCGTAGTCTTGAGCACATATTGCTGAAACTAAAGTAAACAGTGTATTCGACCATTTCAGCATTTCACCATATTCACTGGCACCATTTAATGTACCAGTGAATATCTACAGAAGGGGAAAGGTGCAAACAGGATGAGGAAAAAACAAACAAACGCAAAAATGTACTGCAGTCTACTGAACCCAAGTTCAACTATGGCACATTTATGTCTTTTAATAGGTTTTAAACAGTAACGGAAGTCTACGGCCACGGAGGAAAGTCCTACTTTTACACAGGAAATATTTGTTGGTAACATAATTCTTTCATTGTTGTTGCGATTTGTATCCAAAACATGTATATCACCGCACTTGTGTGCGTTTCCTGAGCACCGTTGCTTCAGTCAACAACATGTTCCCGTAATGTTTTTATTTTTTGGTTGAGACAGCATGCTTTTCAATAGCAATCCAGGATCTCTCTCCATGTTGGGCTGTTGGCTTCTATTTTCAACACAATGAAAGAGTGCCCTTTGTGTCCTCCCCTTTAAGTCACCTGTAATGCATTTAGTGCAGGCGCATATCAAGTGTGGCCACGCTATATGTCACCACCCTGCTACCTATTGGATTAGGGCAAAAAAAGACAAGATGGCTCCAGGGGGGAGATACACACGCACACACACACAGACCTAGACATAACTAGGACAACAACAACAACAACAGCAAATCCAACGACGGGTCAGTGAGCTCTTGGTTCCATATCTACCTAACATATGGCTTGCTCTTGGATTCAAAGGGATCTCACAAGTAATGTCCGTTGAACACGTTTAAACCCTGTTGACCAGCCATATACTGTATGAGTACGGCAGCAGGAGGTAGGCGGGACGCAGTGAAGTGGGGAGGAAATTGGCAAGATTGCATGGGAAGAGTAAGATCCACAGAGTGTCAGCATGAGAGCCCCACGATGTGCAAAACAACACAATTAAGAGGGACGCTTAGCCTAATCAGTGAATGCATCATGCAAATGCCGTTTTTTGTTTTTTTTCTTTCAATGCCTACTTTAATCTTGGCCATTATCGCTGAATACAAATCAGGGACTTAACTCTAATGAAATGAGGAGAAGTGAAAAGGGTGGAATGACACAAACGTGACGAAGAGGCACAGTGGCTGATGGAGAGGATGATGCACGAGGAGGCAGCGAGCTCGGGCTGGTGGCTGGGATTGATGTGTTTCACTCTGTCAGTGGGGGTTTTAGCCAAGCTCCGTCTTTAGGTCGGACAATTATTGACACAGCAGCAGACCTCCATTAGATTGAAAGCGGTTTACTCTTAATCTTTAACAAAGATCCATTGATGTTTTATGAATACGTAACTCTACACCACCGCAAACCACAGCCTCAGAAAGTACTTATAAAACCAACAGAAAAGTAATATAAAAGCATGGCAGCAGTAATAGTTATTGCAAATTCAATATTTTACCACAAATGAAACGTAGTGGTGGATGAAGCCATTATGGCTCATCGGGAGATACTATAAATATTGCACAGTCCAATCAAACACGAGCTCCGATGAGCAGGGCCAACCTTTTAACACACCTCACCTTAAACACACCTCCCAACACGGGCATTACACATTATACAAGTCGCAGGCACAGGAGGGCCTTTATAGATGTTGCTACATACATCTTACATTGCATGTTTTAAACATCCACATACTGTCGCAGACCTTTGTCACCCGTCTTGGGTCAGTACAGGAGTGTCGTTCTCCTGATATCATTTACCAAAGGCCCATTTCTAACTTCTAAAACAAAGAGACCTGGCCGCAGTATCTCATCTTCATTATTAAACGATCATTTGAGACTGTAAATATACATATTCATCCACGATGACAGCGCGAGGGCTTCATATAGATCATAGACACAGAGGAAAGAATTGTTGGTCAGTTTGTGTAAGCATGAGTCTGAATACACACAACGCACAAACATACAATGTAGGCACAGAACTGTGGCGCTTAGACCTGAGAGAATGACTCACACACACACACACACACACACACACACACACACACACACACACACCTCCATCATTTCTCTTTAAATTTCATTATAAATTGTTCAGCTCAGCTTAATGCACCTTAATTGCACCAATCATGGCCCTATTCCTAAATCTGTATGTCTATGAAAATGATTGTTGAGACAAAAGAGCCGTTTGATGGAAGAGCTGCCAGGAGCGCGAGGCATACTTTTAACCAGACTTGTGGTTACCTAGGGGACCAGAACAAAAGAGCACCGGCGAGGCACATTATCCTGTCATGCCTGACATGCTGCCATTAAGGCTGGCAAACGCCGACGCCAGAGACACCGAATATAAAACGGTCGGTCGTTTAAACGGGACAAACACAACTTAAACATAATAAGTCAGAGGTCCAACTGTGCACCCGGTTTATCTATGGAACCATACAAGCAACGTCTCAGTTCTTCTGCTGTGGTTATTTCATGTCCATGTTGAACAAATATTCCTCCCATTTCATATTCCTATGGTCAGCGCTAGTCAAACAGTCGAGGCGGTTGGAAAGGCAGAGCTTTTGGCAAACCAGCACAGAGAAATAGAGCCACTGGTCGCGCCCCCTGGTGGCCACGGCAGAAGCTGCTCACATGCTGGCTGACATCCAGATGTGAACTCAACGTGTTGTCAGAGGAAAGGAAAGCAGGGGGGTTTAATATTTCTACTGCTCAGATTTAAAACCTGTGAATATGTACAGAGAGGCCAAAAATTGTGACTAACATACATGCTATGCTTTTGTTGTTTGTGATGTGATGACAGCAATTTACTGGTTATTTAACAAACATTTAAGAAATGGTTTTGTCTTATAAGGAACTGAAAAGGGAAATTGGCAATCATGAAACCCTTTTTATAACAGATTTATTATATACAATTTTAATTTTTACAGATAAGACTTTACTATTGCACAAAAAGAGCATACGTTATTGTTTAAAAAATCATGTTTATGGTAAATGAGAGTGAAGCGTGAATTATTTTCCGTGTAAAATCATGGAACACCTTTTTCTTATGTTGAACTGAACTGCGGGCAACCCAATTAGTCAGCAGCACATTGAGTCCGAAACCTCGGTCATGAAAAATAATGTGGTAATAAATGTTCTGTGTGTCAAAGGGGAAATTTACATTATAATATTTGCGTTTTTTTCTAATTTTGCACCGGAGGTCGCTTGCCTTGTTGTGTTTTCCTGCAGCTTTCATTGAACAAGCAGCAATCTCCTCCTTCTGCAACATCCTTTTCTATAATTTGAGGAACCGAACAGACCTGGCGATGTGCTGTTCTGTCGGTACATCAGTATTGTTGTGCTGTTGCAAGTATTGTTGTCCTGATGTCCTTCAATCACCCCTCATGTAGCTCGGTAAACAAAAACTGAGTCCGTCTCAGTTGGACGTAGCGTGTCTGGGTGTCACAATGACACGGAAATACAAATTGTGGTTTCCATTCATCTAGCGGCCAGCAAAAGTTAGATAACTAGCTACCATAGAGTTTGACTCTGGAACATCTCAGCAGCCAGGAGACACCGTCAAGAAGACCCGACAGGGATTCTGCTACTGTATCCTGCACCTGAAGAAGACAGAGGAACACAATGACATGTTCAGATGATAATTGCCCGCACGCTGGCCCCGGGTGGATGTAAATGCAACGGAAGCCTTTCAGTTGGCTGGATAATTACCATCCAGGGATTAGCCAGCTGGGGTAGTCCGAGTCGCTTTGCCATGTCGACACAGGGAGTCCGACACCTACCCGCGTTCCTGCTGGCAGCGGGTTGCAGCCGGGTTGTTCTGACCTCTTCCGATTCTTCTCTGGAGACACAGGAGAGCACCAGCAGAGGCCTCGTGGCTGAATCCTGAGCAGAGCTCAGCACAGCTCGGATCTGAGCCGCCTCGGACTCCCCGTCCCCTACCGATGACAGGGGCAATTTATAGTGGTAGCGGATGAGCAGAAGCTGCGAATAGCAATGAAAGGTTATCTCACCTCTGCCAGGCTCTGCATTGGCCACATAGATAAAACCGTCCACCACCTGGCACACTTGCTGGACCTGAGGAGCCGGGCTGTAGATGGGAGAACCGGAGTCATCGGTTCCTTCAAAGGTAAAAAGTTTATTACTGATGCTGTGCTCCTGCACTTTGGCTTTCTCCCTCTCTGCCCTGAACACACAAGCACACAGTTTGATGATTGTGGCTGTATCCACAATAATATGCATTAACAAACTGATTATAACTGAGGCTCACGTGTTGTCTTTGAATGCAACGTGCTTACCTATTGTTTGAGTACAGGGTCAGGATATTGAATTTGTGTTGGTTCTTGAACATGTAACTGATCCCTGAGCCAATACCTAGAGTATAAAAACAAGTATTAGTTAGATTCTTGGGGCGTCTAATCTGAAAAGAATTATTGTCCAATATTGCCACCTAGTGGAAGGCAAATCACACTACAAAAATAAAGTCAAGTGATTGTGATTACAATCAATCAATCAGGCCTTTATATCAGACTGAAGGTCCAGATAGTACAACATTAAATAGAATAAGATACATCCAAAATCACATGTACATATACAGATACATGTATACATAATATTTTTGAAAAAATATTTTCACCACCTCGGTCTCTAAAGTAATATTCTCATGGCATCATTATGAGCTACTTGGAGTCTTTGTAGGCTTTTTTTCAAGTGTGCAGTGAAGAGTACAATAAGCTCCAAGAGACATCTTCACTCCATCTGTACACATACTAAACTGAGAGAATGTTTGCTTGTGCATCCTCCGACATTGCCTATAGATATCTTCATCATCGGTCATCTGTTCTGTAATAAAATGTCCAAGATATTTTACCTTATGACAGACACTGAATTATCAGACAATCTGAAGTAAAGACATTTTAGAATTGTGTCCCGTTTTGTTCTACGGATCAAAATAGCACTCGTACTCTTTTATGTTATATTCCACACCAGAGACAGTACATTTTAGTAAGGAGCAGCTGGAGACCAGCATGGACTAAGAATCACAAGATAATCTGCTTGCATGATATGATTAACTAAGATATTACCAACTATACACCCAGTATTACAGGTGTTTAACTGCTTGGAACAAGCTAATTTAAAACGTAGATTAAGAAGAACTGGCAACAAGATCCCTCCTTGTCAGACACCATTCCTGACTAATTTTCTTTAAGGCATAAATACACGAGTCGGTGCGATGTTTGGCTTTAAAGCCAAACTGGTAATCTGAGGAGTGAATAAACTCAGTTCCAACAAGATCCTTCAGCACACATCAAAGTTATCTTACCATTTATCTGTCTTTGAGGAGTGCCCAACATAGGAAGTATATCTGGAGCATACATGAGCCTCGTGACCAAAGAGACATCCAGCTGCTCCATGCCGGGGCCAAACATGGCATAACGTGGCTCAGATGAGGGCACCAGAGACTGGAGAAATGAGGTCACGACCTCGTACGCCGGACGTGAGGGAAGCCATTGTTGTCTGCTGGATGGGCATCCTTTCAGGTATCTGTAGACACGTAAACGGCGGTTCAAATCTCATCTGAACAAACTGACCTTCACACAGGCAGACAGAAAAAAAAAGACACCCACTCTGACATGTAGTCAACTGTCGATTCCATCCCTTTGTCGTCCCATTCTTCTCTATCGTCCAGGCTCTCACCTTGGTCGATCAGTGGCACGTCCAACATCTCCAGTTGGGGCATGCTCACATGATCGATGGAGGGCCAGTTGAGCATGTCCCTGAGCAGGAAGTATCTCCACAGTAACGGATCTCTAACCACGGCCCTCCAGTAACGACTGGCGGCTCCCAGGTTACAGATATCCACCGGACGCAGAAAGGTCATGATCAAGAACTGTACGTCTACCTTAAAACAGGGAGGACATGATTAACATGATTTTTATGTTACAAGTAAAAAAAGCGTCAAGCGGAGTTCAGGGCAGAGAAGGTGCGTTCAGTCATGACGTCACACAGCATTCCTTAAGCGTCACATACCCAACAGCCAAAGTTACATAATCAGGAGCCACTGTCAAAATTGTATAAAAAAAAAATTATATATCACTTCATCGTATGCATGCATCGACTGCACTTATATATATATATATATATATATATATATATATATATATATATATCCACTAAGTGAGAAGTTTGTCGGTGCGGTTCTGTAGATATACGGAGAACACACACAGAGAAAGACGGAGTTTCCTGGCTTTTAGTGTGGAAAAGAGTTGAATAAATTGAACTCTATTAAACGTCACATAGCTACTCTTAACTCGATTCATGAGATGAACACATAGTGAATAAACCCTCCTTGTCCCTGCATCGTTTTGGAGCTGAAACCAAAGACTTTTAAGTGACTTTCACTCACCGGAAAACTGTCCAGGAATCCCGGATGCGGCTCCGCTGCCGCGTCCGTCAAATCGCCTTCGACGACCGGACCAGCGTTTGTAAAATACCGGTCTCTGAACCGCCTGAGGCTTCGGATCACAGCGGACCCGCTGAGCTGCTGGGTCGGTCCTGCCATGGTCTCACAAGTGACTGACGATAAGCCCACAGCTACTAAAACCCAGCGCGGTCCGGAGGCGATGACGTCATACCGGTCCGCTTTACTTCCTTGTTGCTGGCTGCTGCGGGGCATTGTGGGTAATGTCGGTTCAATAATGTGCAGCTATAATCTTGTTTTTTTCTTAAAACAACGCGCGTGTTTATTGTCAACGAGGACATAAAAAACAGAAAATGATTTTCGTTCAAACAACACATAGTTGTACTATCCAGATTACCGACGTGGCAGAAAAAAAAGTAGTTTCGCAATAAATGGGAATACAAGTGGCGCATTACAAAGCTGGTGTGAACAAATTTGAACATACTTCAAAGTCAGGAATACATCATTCTCAATTGTTTTTGGACACCTTTCTTCTGCCCTTAGTGTATATTTGTATACACACACATACATATATAATGTATATGCAGTTATAATATATTAAAAACAAAATGGCAAAAAAAAAACAATAAATAAAATGTTACTGTGCAATGTTTCATTTCCAGCTGGATTATCTTCAAACTTTTAAAAAATAAATGAAAGAAAAAAAAAAAGGTAAATTTCATTAATAACCTTTTAATATTTATATTAATGTTATTATAACACATTCTCAGAGCAAAATAAGCGCCCCAGTCAACAGTCTGGAATCAAGATGACAACTGCTTTTTCAGCAGGACAGGGATAAATGTTATTTAACAACCTCGGGTGGATCCCCCTGCCAGTTTTACACCACCAATCTTCTCTCTAGCATCTCTGTCCCCGGCTTTTCCCTGGACCGCTTGGCTTGGGTTGCCTGTAGACACCGATCCAAAGACTCTTTTCATCACATACACTTCCTCCCCATACCTCCACTTCACCTTCCACAAGATTACACCCCATCGGATGAATTGCATTTTTATTTGGGGTTGACACACATTTGAATACTGAACTTAGATCTGTGCCTGAGGGCAACTTCAATACAGAGGCAGCTGGGCTCACTGTAAAATACTAAGGATTTCCTTGGCATTCTCTGTGTTCCAGCCCTGGCCCTGCAGGGGGCCCTCACAGGCAAGCACGTATTTGTTGAGGATCTGTGTGCCAATGTCCCGAAACTGCAGGCGATCTTCTTTGCGATCCATCGTGTCAGCACTGCAGTCCTCGTACTTGACCGCCCAGAAACACATTTCCCCAATGTACATCATCGTCAACAGGTGTGTGTCTGAGAAGATGCCTGACCAAAATCACAAGTAAGTAGTGAGTATGATCAAACGGCCCACATGGAGTATTTTCTCTGATTCAACTGTCTCAAACATTTGTGTAATTCATAGATAACGGATGACATATTTACCTTCAGAAAGGAAGCTTGCTGTAGCAGTGTCATGGAGCACCACGCCATCGTTGAGCTTCACAGAGTTTCTCACCTGCAGCATCCGCATTAGGTAGCGCACTCCTTCCTGAATACACTACATTGAAATATCATCACAGTCTTATTAGAATTACGACTAATGTCGCACATGACAAAATAAACAAACAAAACAATGGACGCTACACCGATTACACCAAAACAAAGTAAATGTATCTGGCAGAATCAGGCCCCGTCTCTATTAATAAATACAATTTACAGGATCTAGTTCATAGTGTGGCACCTTAAGGAATGTGTCCTTGTTTTTCTTAATCCACTGTTTTCGTTGATGAAGGGTGTGGCAGTACATGTAGAGCAGAGCTCCACGTCTCCAATAAAGGCATTCTAACAGCTCAAGGCCCAACATGGACTGCACCTATCAAAAAACACACAAACATAAATAGCCCTGTTAGACAATGACATCGAAGCAAATGTGTTCTACTAACAATTTAAAAAATATGAAATAAAGACAACATTATAATTGAACTGCTATTACAGGGAGGTGGGAATAATCTAAAAAGGATTTACAGAACATGCACACAAGATCATCATGAGAGACACACATACACACCTCTTGTGTTGGTGCTAGTCTCCCTGCCAAAACTTCTGGCTCTGTCAGGTCTTGCAGCAGCTGCTGGATTTTAAAAGGTGAGCAGTCCTCAGGGAACTCCTGGTCCACCAGTTTATTTTCTTCATAAAATGTGATGTCCAGGATCACCTAAATGATAGAAAGCAAATGCCTGCTTACACTGTACTTTGAATACAATGTTCAAGAAAAACTATGTAACAACTTTCACAAAGGCAAAAAACAAGTCACTGGAAGCAAACCAAATTAATATATTGAGTTCTTCATTAATAAAGTAGATAAAATCAGGAATGAAGTGGCCAGGAAATGGTAGACACAACTGCAGCCTCCAAAGCAAACTTGAGATCCAAGCGTCTGAGAGTGTATTGAGAAGAAGCCAGTTGCTTGATTACTCTCACTTTGATGATAAAAATATACTGACTATTTTCAGTCAGTCATCTAAGCATCTTGTGGTACAAAGTCGAGTAACTTTGTTTGGGCATACATTTTGACTCCAACACTGTGAACGCCATATTATAACCTAAGTAGATAGTACCCTTATTTATGGCTCAACTGAGGGGCTCAATGTTTATTGTTTAATGGGGGTAAAACCAACCAAAAATAACACACGTCAATTATGGTTAAATGTTTATTCCATTTATCAAGAAGAATTGCCATGCCTTGTCGGTTCCACCTTCTCCAATCTGTTTAATAAAAGTAAGCGTGACTATAAACCTTTGATTTTTGGACTTTACCATTTACAATTTGATGTTAAACTACATGATTAATTAAAAATAGAGTCAGATTTCAGTCACAACAGTAATGAAGTGTAATGTAATGAATTACCTGTGTATAATCCTGAAGCACCTTGGAAAGGTTGCTACTCTCCCCTCCTTGCCTGTAATAGCTTTTCAACTTGTCTAGTATGGCAGAAGCATTCTGTAAATAGTCATCATCTGTGGAAACAAATATTAACATAACAAATGTTAACATATTACCAATTAACGTGACAGGTCTTCTCTCAATTTTCTCCAATGTATTTTTTTCAGTACTGACATTGATGAATGGCACTATATAATTACACGTTTATACAAAACAGTTTTTACGTAATTTAACAAAGACAAAAGCTAATGTGACTTTTTTGCCACATTACAATTATGGCATGAAGCGTGAACTGACATGTTGAAGCGTTTGACAATGTTTACATGTAATGACTAATGTAACTAGTAGGCGAAATCGCACACAAAAGGATGGCAACTTTACTGCGACTGTTAACTCTCGCCCCTTGTGTATTTAATATTGCGGTGCGTCTTGTCTCCGAGTCAGCTAACGTAAACCGTTTGTCAACAATAATGCATTTTAGCTAACGTTAGCAGATTTACGCTAGCCGTTGACTCGTGCACCCACTTATTCAAAAACCAACACCGGCGAACTACTAACGGCTACCGAGTTGACCGTTCACCGCCCGCTCGTTAACTGGGCGGAACGTGTTATTTGCCGATGCGCGGCGTTTCATCGGACAACAGCTGTTGTTGTTATAGTTGCAAGCTACGTTTGACAACGCTAGCTAGCTTGCTAGTTGGCTAATAAGATGAACAATGGTCTCGGCCGCGCGTGCGAGACGCCACGAACGGCCACGAGACAAACGAACAACAACGTCCCGTCGATACCTTGCTTCTCAGTTCTGAGACTGGAACACTTGATGTCTAACTCGAATATCCTTCTCTCCAACTCGAAACCCTGTCGCCTGTAGTCGTCGGCCATGACTAAAAGTGTACGTCACGTGAGCCCGGGATTACTCACGTGCTCATGGTGTCACGCTTGACAGCAGTATGTTTGTGTGCGCGTGCCCGGGATGGTTATCTCCGCACTACGTTATTTAGGCTCAATCCCCCAAATCTCCCCTAAACCATCGACCCTCAGCTGACGTCACCTGGTAAACGGTGTGCGTGTTAATAGTCTGCGAGGACTTGAGATGGTGTAACTAAATAAGAATGGGACAGCTCTTTGCAGCAACTTCACCGTGACAACGTCAAAAAAACCCGATTTACACCTGAGTGTATTTGTCATACTTTTTACTCTTTGTTTTGAACGTCTTTCAGGCTCTTTTCTTTTATAATATGAAAGATCCTTTTAAATAATGTTTTACTTTTTTTTTGTCAAAAATGCTTCGATGACTAAGTGTAATACTTTAATAATATATGCATAATAATACTTAAGGATATCCATTTTATTATGACAGTCTGAACGCACATGTGCCGTCCTCATTGTTTACCTTTTTTATAAAGGGCTCAAAATGTCCACCAGAGAGCCTCAAACACTCGGCGGTGCAACAGCCCTGAACCCCGCACGTAGCCAGCGGGAGCGCGCCTGCAGAGGTGGTGATTAAGCATCGGGCCTTTTACCCCCCGAGAGTTTTCAAAAAGCATTACAATCTGTACAACAGTTCAAACATTTGGCAGCTCGCCAGTGGCAGAGAAATAGTTAAATGTCAACGCGCCTGCCGAGCCTCTCTATACATACACACACACACACACACACACACACACACACACACACACACACACACACACACACACACACACACACACCCTCCCCCCGTGTTGGTCCAGCCCATTCAGGCTTTGCGCGCGTGCATGTGTGTGTGCGTGCGTGCGCGCGCGCGTTAGCCACATTGCTAATAGCCGCGCTGCGACCTCTGTGCAGCCCGCAGCATCTGTCTCCTCGAGCTGTAAGCGCGCTCCTCCTCGGCCGTCTCCCCTCAACGCGACTCCCGAAACATGGCGGCGCTCAGTGCTTCGCGCGCAGCGGAGAATTTGTTCCTCAGAAAACTGCGTCTGGCTCCGTGCAGAGCGAGATTAAATGTGGCGAATCTGCAGTGGAGCAAGGTTGGTGCGGCTGCGTTCAGTGCTTCCAGACTCGACGCGGTTAAAAAGAGACGACTGTGACATAATAAATGGTCATAATATTGTGACTATTCGAAAGCCGCTTTTGTCTCAACAATTAGTGTATATTGAGTCATGGACGTATGACTGAACCGGGTCATTTAGCAGAGTTCTGCATTTTATTTCAGTTTAACTTTCTGACCGTTACCCGACCTTTAACTGCGATAATTTAACCTCTAATTTAATCTAACTTTACATGAAGTAAAGTTAAAGTCAACACGTCCAAGGCGAAGGTGAAATGATCACAGGTGCTTTCGTGTATTATACACGCTTAACCAGTTTAAACCAGTATTTAAACGTATAGTTTCCTGTTCTGTTATGTCAATGCTCACGTGGCCGCACGTTGCATAAGAAATACTTACATAAATAAATAATGTCTGTATTAAAAACTTCCCGAGGTTACAGGTTCAAAGGAATCTGAAACTGAAATCACAAATATGCAATATCAATTTTGGTTATACCGATATATGAAGTAATTGCAAAACAATATCCACAATATGAGAAATAGAGGTGGCAAAACTCAACCAAATGTTATGTTAATTGAACAATTAGACTTTATTTTTGGGGGGGATTCTTGTGAGCTACCATCACGCTTTGCTCCCTTTGTTATGAGATTGGTTCAACAGCTTTGTTTATCTTTCCCCTCCTCAGCTGAATAAACTCAATCAGCCATTTAAACTGTACCGACGCCGCTGCCCTCAGGCATCGGCCAGTTGTTTGAGTTGAACTTCTGTGTCCTTGTACAGAATCACTGAAAAAACGCATGCAACTGTTTAGTACTCTACACCTTTGATCTGCTTTCCACAGACCAGCGGCTGCTACTTTTCTACCTCGAGCCAAAGACGCTCCCTCTTCTACGCGGATCCCACAGAAGCAGTCAAAGATATCCCCAGTGGAGCTACCATTCTGGTGGGAGGTAAAGATCTGCACCACTTTCACAAACGGACTCTCTCAGATAATGGGATGGTTGCATAGAAAGCTCAATGACATTCTTGGCAAATTACCCCAGCGTTCAGCTCCATGCAAGTTTTGTTAACTGATAAAAACGAGAGAAAGATGTTCAATGACCACATAACGGCAACGTGAGCTCTGTCTGGCAGGGTGGTTGACTGCCATCAACACGCCGAGTGGAAATAAATTCCACAGCTCTTATTTATAGTCAAGTTCGGAGGGACATTGTTAAATATTTTCCATTGTGTCACACTTCTGTCTGAGGGGAAAAAAAACTCAGACATACAGAAATCCTCAGTATGAGAAACACCTGATACTTACAAGCAAATAGAATTACCTGCCCTGGTTCAAGGTTGACCATGTTATTAATTATATTATTATTAAGTTTTTTTCAAAATCTTTGATCAAAACGTTTGTAGAGTACCAGGGGGTGAAAGTTCATCCCCTTTCACACATTTCTGTCTTTTTATGCGTTCCAACACAGGCTTTGGGTTATGTGGGATCCCAGAGAACCTCATCAACAGTTTACTAAAGACGGGCGTCAACGGTCTCACGGCCGTCAGCAACAATGCAGGGTAAGCGTGTGCACGTGAACGCTGACTTGCAAACACAGTGCTTTCCCATGCGGTGATAGATTTTATATTCGTGTAATGCCAGCACCACCGTCATTTCTAAAGCCTAATTTGTTTTATTTATTGATGTACATCAGTTTGTTACGTTTTTTTCTTCTTTTTTTTCTTCATGTTTGAATCTGGAAAGTCCACGTTTGCCGTCATGTGTCATTTCTCTTTCATTAAGAGCTGTGCGTTTGCGGTGTCATAAAAATGGAAGTTCAATGTGACGTTGACCTCTTCCACTACTTTGAAGGAAATGTCACAAGAAGTCTTAATTGGACCTGCAAATAAGCGCGTCTCCTCACAGACTGTTTTTAAAGGTTTGTCGGAGGAATTTGTGACCTTGTTGTTATATCATCAAACCGGCAGTGTTTACTTGGAGAGATGCCCAGAAGTCAGCTTCTGATAAGTTACCAGATTTGCAGGCACAAGTGAAAGTGACTGCCACTCCTCCGGTGTCCGGTGACATTGGTGTGTGTGTGTGTGTGTGTGTGTGTCTTTTTCTCTCCGGTATAATCTCAAACGATCCACTACTGTAGTTACAATAAATAATACCAGTATTAAAACACCGTCTCAAATAAAAAAATTGCAAAATAAAGGTTGAGAGTCCTAATTGATTGCACATGGTGTTTATTGTAGTTGTGCAGTAAGAAGCTCAAATGGCTTTAAAGTCCCTGAATAAAGGGCTCTGTGCAAGTAGCTGTCAGAAAAACGCTGTCCTACAAAGTGTGGTGCACAGAAGTTACACTTCACTGGACCTTTTCTCGTGGACTTTGATTTTGCTGCATATTGATTCTTTGAATAGTTACACAAAATATTAACTGGAGTCACGGCGTCCCCTCTGGACAAACAGTGCTGCCCGCGGACTCTATATTGTAACCTCTTAGGAACAGTGGCGTGTTGTCCCTATTGTGTCTTTTCTCAGCCGATCCCAACGCAGGGAATCCTCTCCTGTACGTCCACACGGAGGCTACATGGACATTATAGTGGGATTTGCGCTTTGATGTGGTCACGGCAACGCGTGTCTTTTAAGGGAAGGGGAACAAAGTACCTTCATGATGATATTACATTTTGAACGGACCATTTCCTGAAGCTGAAAAGGCCGCCGTGATTACAGAGGGATCTCCTCTACTGCCATTAGGAGCACCTCGACATTCACACAACTCCTCAACACACACACACACACACACCGCTAGGATCTTAATCACGGTGCGCTTTTGCGATGTAGCGAATAAGACATATGGGAGTCAGTAGCAGATAACGGGATGTATGAAGGTTTTGCAAATAAAGGGTTTCATATGAACAGCAACTGCAATGTGTTTGATGTCTTTGCACGGTGGGGAGATTGAATTGTTGCTTGATGAAGACTGACACAGGGGGCTCTTTATGCACTGTAATACGAGACGAGATGGGGATTCAGCTGTACACAATAGATAATTGGGAGAACTGCACCCGCTACAACCTTTTATACTTGGTGTCTAATCAGCATAGCTGGTGTATGAACGGCAGACATTGTGTGCAAGGCTAGAAGCTGCTCCCACAACTCCGCATTTGTCTTGCAGAGATTGCTTTTTGGTTCTACATTGTTGTCTGTCCTCAACAGTAGAGTCCACCCGTTGACACGGTGTTTGTCCTCAAAAAAACACATGCAAACACACACGCTACCATTAGTCAGACATGCCGAACCCTTTTACACAGACGGCTTTCAATGTTTTGTAACACTAGCGCTGTGTGGAGCAGCGGGCTTCACGCAGACATCTGTTCTTGATATTCTGGGCACACACGGCCTGCATATCTTGTCATCTGAGGTTAGAGTTGTGTACAAAGCTGTGGCTCCGGTCCTGAAAGAAGCTCTGTGCTGAGCTTTTGCATTGGCTCTGATCACTAGGAGCAGAAACGGTAGCAAAGGGAACGAGTTTACCCATTAACATGCAGGAAAGCGTTAAAAAAATCATTTGATTGCCGTGTCCTCAAAGTAATGTCCCCTGTAATAAGAGGAATAGACCTAAAAAGCAGAACCCAGTTAAAACCGCTTTATGTGTTCTAGAGTTTATGAAGACTATGTCCTAAAGACTTCACGTGTTAATGACTTTCCAGCCACATGCATCAACCTCAGTCACCTCACACAACCAGTATCCCAACAACCCATGTAACACAATGCCTGTCTTTGTAGCCACAGTCATATTTATGGGAATGAGATTTTCTTGCTAATAAATGGTCTCTTCAGGTTTGATGGTTTGTATGTGTGATGTTCTTCAGAACCACGTGGAGCTCATGTAACCCACACTTGAGACAGAAATGAGCACCGCAGGTTCATGAACATCCCCTTGCTGCATGCGTAATGAAAAAAGTAAGGATTCTGTGGATTTCTACCAGACAATAAACAAAGGGACCCTCTCAAATGTCTGGTTTCTCAGCGGTCTGCTGGGCTTTTGTCACGGCCGCGGCTTTTCTCCTCCTTTGAGATCGCATAGAAGGAGCCGTTTCACTTGGTTTGGCCCCATTCAAACAACCTTGAATAACCCTCTTTGGTAATAAGAGCATTACATTACATACTGTACAATGTCAGGACGCTCCTCCCAGTGAAAGAGGACGGGAACATGAGACCAATGCAGTGGTGCGTCGTGTTGAATAACAGTGGATGCGGCCAGGATTAGTAAGAAACGGATCAGCAGATAAAATACATACAAATATACACATTTCTACAAGCTAACTAAATACATTCAACATATGCACCCTTTTAAAACCTGTAAAATCTGTATAAACTGATCCCTTTTCAGCTTTGCTTTTTTAAACCTAAAAAGCTGAACATTGAACAACGGAGTTTAAAGCACCATTTTCTTTTTTTTGTCCTCGGTGTTTGTTCAGTATTGTGTTGCCTCGCTGGGGGCACCTGTGGCTCCGGAGGGAGAGCGGACGTCCACATATCAGAAGAGTGGCGTCCTCTATGCATGAGGGTCTTGACTCTTGGGTTAATATACTGAGCACAAAATGGCACAAGTGTGCGTGTGAGTACATATCGTTCCCGATGAGCAGGTGGCCCCTTGTGTGCTAATATCTGCTGCCACGGTGTGTGTGTGTGTGTGTGTGTGTGTGTTAATGGGTGAATGTTGGCTTGTGTTGTAGCGGTTGCAAAGACCTAGAAGAGCGCCGTGCAAATGACCTCCATTAACAATTTACCTCATCCTTTCTAATCGAAGGTCCGTGATGACGTGTTGTTTTTTCTGCAGAGTGGATAACTTTGGCCTGGGTCTGCTGCTGAAGACCAAGCAGATCAAGAGGATGATCTCTTCATACGTCGGGGAGAACGCAGAGTTTGAGCGACAGTATCTGACAGGGGAGTTGGAGGTGGAACTGACTCCACAGGTTGGTCAGAAAACATAGAAAGCTCTATGGATACTTTTCCTTTCAGTAAAAACAATAAGCACAAAAAACAATGCACATTTCAACTTCCAAATGATCTGACCTCAATCTGTAGATGTTATACACCTGAGGATAACAAAGGCATGCAGGTGACATTTATGTATTTGTCGTCTTTTAATCTGACACGTTTTTTTAGGGAACTCTGGCAGAGAGGATCAGGGCCGGGGGTGCCGGGGTTCCAGCCTTCTTCACGGCCACCGGCTACGGCACACTGATCCAAGAGGGAGGCTCTCCTATTAAGTACAACAAAGATGGCAGCATTGCCATCGCCAGTGAGAAGAGAGAGGTGAGAGTTTTGTCCACTATGTGGATATATATATAATATATATATGTACATTGCAAAAACACTCTTTGGTTCTGCATTTAAACAACAAGGTAAACATCCAGACATAAGGCTGTTCACAGACGGCGTAATGCACCACCACAGTTTATGTGATATGCTATTTGATTTTCTTGTGTGAATTGAATGAATTTGCAATAACTGCTCTTGTTGTTGCGGACTCGCCGCGTGAAAACGTTGTTGAACGGGTCAGCATGTTCCCACTCCATGGATTGTGTTTTGTCATTGGTCAGGTGCGGGAGTTCAACGGCAGGCACTACATCATGGAAAAGGCCATCACTGGAGACTTCGCCCTGATTAAGGCGTGGAAAGCCGACAAGGCTGGAAACATTATTTTCAGGTAAAGGATGAAATGGCAAAATACCAGTATTTATTTAGTGAAGGGTTCATGCTCTTCTTGCCTTAAAGCGCATCGGACTCGTCTTAATCACCTTGCTCGTGTTTGCACAACAATCACCGCATGATGCCGGCGTCATGTGGTGATAGTGGAACAGTTTAGGGGACGGCTGGGTTTCATTTAGATGTTCTTAGCTTTTTAACCTTGTCCTTTTTGATAGGATCTTTAAGAGATGTTTTGTATGGACGGAGTGTAGGCATTATTAAATTCAACATATATCAGTATTCGCTTCTATATCTTGAATTATTCTCCAAGCACACTGATTTCTGTTTCGTAACTAATAATTACTAAGTGTGATCCGGTTCAACAACGTACATGAATTAAGGTTTATGGATATCCTCATCAGTTATAGCAGATTATCAGTAGATTGAAGATCAATACTGAATCTAAACTATCTGTAAGGCAAATGACACAAACCTGGCAGATGGGAATGATAATGAGTAGATGTAATAAAGCATCTCTCCACCAGAGGGCAGTCCCTTCCAATAAACTAACATGCCATATAGGAAATGAGATGTTAGGGTACTTGGTTGGAATATTGTTATCAAATCTGTTTTCAAATGACTTATTTCTTGCTATCATCTTTCAGGAAAACAGCGAGGAATTTCAATCAACCCATGTGCAAGGCAGCCACAACCACAATAGTTGAGGTAGGGATTTCTAACAACCCAGACTAAAGCTTTCTTTTGATCGGTTGTCATGCATTATGTAAACTTTGATTTTCCAGGAATTTAGCTATTCTGGCCCTCACGGCGGAAAAAATTGCTCTCCCTCTGTGTGTCTTTTCCTTTCTTTGGTGATTAAGCCAGACCGCCACGCTGGCTTCTATCGACGTCGGTGCATGCGAACGTCCCCAGCTGGTCGGCTCACGGCCGGCTGCCGCTCCGCACTTCTCTCACACGGGGGTTACGACGCCGTGTACCGACCCGCGCTCTCGTCTTTCAACAAACTAAATTAGCCCGCCACCGACGTCTTCCCATAATCATGTAGATTACATTTTTGAAATACTTATGTTAGTCTCTAAATTCTGATGGAAGTGGTGTAAATAAAACCGCCATTTGCCATTCGAACCCAACCACACAAAGTCTGTAGTGACACATTCATCATCAAATAAATGTTACCTGACCAACCTCGAACAACAAGAGCGGTCCGAAGCAGAAACGTGAGAAGGGGATCTTACGGGTGTTAAATGCTTGGTACAAAAGAGAGAAGTCTTAGACGTGAGAATAATAAAAGATAAGTTCAAAGATCTCGGCCTCAATCTGTATGACCGAAAACCAACCAAGTTAGAATGTCCTGCTCTCTCTGTCTATGTCATCCCATCTCTCTTGTCATCCACCTGTCTAGCATTCAATTGCCTAGATATGTGATCACTCCTCTCTTCCGTGTGTGTGTGTGTGTGTCTCCAGCACACTTCACACCTCCCATATAGAGACCATTTGATTAAGGGAGCAGCAGGGAGAAAACCTGTGTGTGAAAAACCATAAAACACAGGCGCTTACTGAAAATAAATAGGTAGCGAAGGGGCTCTCATAAATCTAAGTGGGTTCCACAAACCACATTTTCAATTATTCCACGGTTGCTGGATTTGAGATTTATACTTCTGTTGATTCAGAAATGTCTGGGACCAAATGGGAAAATGACATTTAATCACAATATGGCTGTGTAGACATCTTTTAAAGTGGTTAGGGTCACAGGTATTTATGCCAATGACTTACGGACAGTCAGTTCTACGTTAAGAAATACATTTTCCAACGTGGTTCTAAAGGGATAATAGGACGAGTCACTCTGACGGCAGCAGCGCTACCGAGAAATGTGTCTGTGTGACGTGTGCTTGGGTTGGAATGTAGACGGTGGTCACGTGAGTGACAACGGCGCTTTGAGACATGCAAGCATAATTGGTTGGATTTAATATCAAACTACCTGCTTCTACCTCAGTGCACCCAGAGTCCTCTGCACTGGGTGTTTTGGTGATTGGAGAGGGTGACGCGATTGCTCAAATTGCAGCTGCTTTTCTGAAGATTGTTTTTGTGGGGTTTCTACTTGTGCACAGTGGCAGGAATGTGTGCGAGGAAAAGACATGTAAACTAAAATGTGATATTTAAATCCCACATTATCACAAGCCTCCAGGAAGCACCTGACGTACTTCAGTTCACAACCACGGAGGAAAGTTATTTTCCGTGCAGCTGCTGCCAAATCTCAAATCTATTTTTTAACAAGTACACAGTATTTGAGTTGAGTACAAACATTGGTGTGCCGCCTGGAGGGATTAAATTGACTATTTGTGAAAGTAATGTTTCACTTAATTAAACTCAACCAAAAAACATTCCAGACTCTCACACAGATTGTCTTATTTTGGGAGAGCAAAGCTCTGCATTTGCATCTGAAGTTGAATGAATCAATTTTAAACTCAATGTTCTTTCCCTTCCCAGTAATAAAAACCGACTCATCTCGTAGGGGAAGTCTTTGAAGATTTTTCACTTCAACAAATAGTCCTTTCAAATACTTGTCATCCCCGGATCAACTAAATGCTTCTATACAGTCGGGCATTCACTCAATTAGGCTTCTGTTTGACAAATTAAGTCAAACCAAATCCAAGCGTTTATTTGGAATTTGGTACATTTCAAAACGGTCTTTATTACATCACGTGGTTATTGATTCGATTTTACTTGCTTTTTGAAAACGTAGTCAAGTCTCTTTCTCATTAGATATGCATTCACTTCAAATTCCCAGCAGGAAATAATAAATAAATGTGCGACTACGGCAGATACATATACTGAGTGTAATTGAATGTCAAAAGTGTATTGGTATGATATTCAATTGTTGTCCCAAGTACTTGGAATCCCATCATAGCCGCCTGAAAACGTTCTCTTTTCGTCCTATCAAGGTTATTTATCGCATTGTATCTGCCATTTCTATGGTGCCGATGGTAACGTACGAACCTTCTTTGACAGGCCTGTTCAGTGGTGACAATAAAATGATCGGCCTGTATAGAAATACCCATTAAGCACCTTTTTTTTTAATCTCTTATAGTGAAGCAATTACCACCTTACTGAAAATAAATTACCCCTTTAGGATTCGGTTCATGCTCGGTCATGAATATGGTGATGTTGCGCAATATTGACCTTGCTCCCCTGCTGCACTCGTTAAAGTTGGGAAAGAACCGACGGGCTGTCGGGTGTTTTTTGAAGCCATTCGTGTAACCTGCAGTCCAGGCCAGCGTGCGGCGAGCTCTCCACGAACATGTTGCAGAATAGGCGACTTGTCTGCTCCACCAGGTTTCTTTCTCTGGAGGCTGAACAGCGTGATCCAGGTTGGTTCAAGCTGTTCAGGAGCAAAGCAATTCGCTGTTATCAAAGGGCAAAACATGTCAGGACATTGCGGCGGTAGGCTGACCGGTCTGCGGAAAATTGGGTAGAATAAAGATTACAACCTTCCGTTGCTCACATTCAGTTAAAGGGCAGCAGTTTAGACATCCGATCTCTCATTTGTAACCAAAACGGGGTCTGAAACAAGGCGCACGCCGCTTCCCATGTGCACACCTGTATGGAAACTCTAACGCATGCGTACCGACGTTTCAGAGACACAATGCAGATGGAGAGGTGGTCATTGAAGTCAAATTGTAGAAACTAAACGTGAGGCTTCATTGCAGGTCAAAAGGACTTGCACGTTTAATTTCACTTCATATTGCATTTCATGTATGTATTCTCTTAAAGTAGTTAGGTCAACAGTGATGGTTGTGTGTTTTACTAGTGAGCCACAAATATAATCACATTTCAATTGTTAATCATATGGACCCTCAAACCTTAAATCAAATTTTGCTTAGTATTTCATCAGTGCAGAGACCGAACCACCGACACTGAGGGTCATCTGATGAAATTGTCATCAGCTGTGGGATATGATTTCAAAGGGTGTTAATAAACTGCATAACTGAGCAGCGTTAGCTTCCAGTAATCTTCTAATACTTGGCAAATATAACAAAGATTCTTATTTTGTATTGTTGTAGTGAACACAACTTTATTTATTATACTCCATAGACGCAGAAGCCACATCCTCTACAGACGCACTGTGTCCAGTGACGTGCTTTAACAGTTCTTCCCCTGCTTTTGTGACTCAATTGAAATATTAACATATTTCATACTCACAATTGTTAGTCATAAAGATCAGATTGGATTGAACACCTTTGCTTAAGGCTCAGTAAATGGGTGTTGTAGATGGTTTACCTCGTGACTCCACTTCTCCACGACATCAATGGCAAAATCTGTGAAGAACCAAACTTCTAATATGCCTTTCATCACAATACATACCAATTTTGATACCCGCCGCTACGGATTCCTTCCCCCAAGTCGGTGACCCGAGGCGCATCCTTTTCTTCTGAATCTTAACAAAAAAGAGGCAGGATGAGTGTCAGAAAAACGAGAACACAAAAGGCACTCTGAAATGACCAGATCATCACCAGCTCCTGCCATGGTTACTAGGCAACCAAACCTGGCTATTCAATTGTTCAAAATGTTCCACGGTTTCCAGCTGGTCCAGTTATTCCCTTTTCACAGTTACGGTGAAGCACCCCCCCCCATTGCATTGTGGGATAAGACACACCAGAGAGTGATTCAAAGCACTGGTTTCTGCTGCTGTTCGATCATCTGTGACGGCAAATGACTCCGCTGTATTCTGTGACTGTGGCCGTGCAACACACGAACAATCAACCAGTCACGCATGAATTCAATTACAGTCTCTCTGTGTTTTTTTGGACAAGCTAGAGGTCTAATTTGATATAATGGATCTCCACCCTCCCTTCCCCCCCAGGGATTCTCCTACACGTGTATAAAACACAGGAGAACGTAGTTCCAGTCGGGAACTGTTGGATTAATCTGTGTGTAGGTAATGTCAAGTATTTCCCTTCACCGTTTGGCCTGGGAGTCCCGGTTGTTATCATCGGGGTGCTTAATGCTTTGTTTGCTCCCTGCTGGAATTTTAATTATTCACCACAGCTCACGTTTGTAACGCCTTTTCACAGCACTTACTATGCCTTGTTGAGTTTTGTTGACGTGTTCCCCTGACCAATTCCATTCCTCAAGCTATTTACAAATAATTATGAATCCACTCATTTTCTCCATCATTTCCCGCATAAAGAGGTTCACGAATTAGCTTTCATCTACATAAAATATGCAATGAATGTCCCAATTTCTTTCGGGATCCGGACATTGACTTTTAAGGCCTTGACAACCGGGCACGGCGGTGGTGATTATCTGCCCGTAAAGAAGTAGCCTCCCCCACGCTTTGCTGCCTGAAGTGCAGTTGCCTAATTTACTATCTTCAGAATGTTCTAGGGACTGTACGACCAACTCCAAAATGCCTGCTAATTAGCAATTAAGTAAAGAAGACCAAAGGCTCATTTTTCCAAATCGGTCCCACCTTTTCTGGGCTGGTGGTACTGGGGGTCCTGGACGGCTTCCCACTAACTCACCCGTAAGCATGACCATTGATCTTACACGAGACTTGTATATAAATATGGCTGTGTTTCCACTAATCAGAAATTGACCTGACAAAGCTCCAAGAAGGATCGAAACATGTTAATTAATTAAGGTTTTGGCACGGAGGAGTTTGAAAGCGCTACGTTTTGCCTAATTAAAGCTGTTTTTGCACCTAC